AACAACACATGAGTGAGTGATCTGCATGTTCTGAGATGATATATAGATATATATGTATATGCCCACCAGTTACCGTTCTAATGGGAATTTGTGCTAACCTAGCTCATTTGGTAGCACTCTTGCCTAGGAGGCAAGGTTGGGGGTTCTGGCCTCAATTCAGGGCTTTGAGCTCAAGTTCTAGGAAGGCACTCTAGTGCAGTGCTGTGAGAGCACCTCATTGTCAGGTGTTTTATCTTTCAGATGAGACCCGAAAACCAATTCTGCCTGTTCAGATGGATGGTAAAGATCCCATGACACTATTCAAAAAGAGAAGTAAGTTTCTCCGAGCGTCCTGGCCAACATCATCTAGCTAAAAAATTATCATTCACTTCTTTGCTGTTTGTGGGATATTGCTGTGTGCAAATTGGCTGCCACATTCAACCAACAAAATATACAGTCACTACACTTTATAATAAAACCCTGTGAAGCACTTTGTGACACATGTACACTGTGATAAGGCACTATATCAAATGCAAGGATTATAATAATTATTTGTCCTGCACACTAGTATAGAAATAGATATACAACCTTCTGATATATACAATCCTATTATCAACAAACTACTTGATGATATATATAAATTATTAAGGCCATGAAGTGAATGATATTTTTTTACCTGGATGTTGCCTCTTGCATGGTCAGCAATGTAAGTAATCAATCTATGTAAGATGCAACATTTTTGACCAACTATTGTCTAATAGGGCTGTGCTGCACTCTCCAGCAAATACTGTACCATGCATTCATTATTATAAATGACTATGCTTAAACATTACGAATGACAGACAGAAAGAAATCAGCATAAGCATTAAGTTCTAATGCAGTGGGTTAATTAAACCCTACAATATACATTAGTAATATTCCAAAGGTGCGAGAAGACATTTGAAGTTAAACTCCTAATGTGTTTCTCGGCACCAGACAATCGATATTCGAGTAGTTTCTGGGGGTGTATGTATGTGTTTGGGGGGGGTGGGGGGGGGGGGATTGTATAGGCACATGCGGATTGCCTTGTCATTATTGGAGCGTCAGGGACATCACAGCATAAACATGTCTTGTTACCAGCTGGTGTCGAATTACTCCAGTCTGCCAGCCAGTGAGCGAGCTTCGGGTTACACAAAAACTGCGAGTAAACAAAATGTCAATAATAAACAAGGAAAGACATCTGCCATATTTGCCACATTGAATGTGATGCTGTTTAGAATACCTTTTTTTTAAAAAAAGAACGGTACTGTGCATCTCACTGCTCAGGCAGTTGTTTTGCATTCATTTACAGTACTTGCTATTCGTTGCAATCCAATCTGACGGAACTGACTGAAATAACACATGGTAACCTATATTGTGCTAATCCGCCCTGCTTGAAACCCTTGAAAGCGTTGGTGAAGTTCAGATAATTACTCTAAGAAAGCCAGTGCTTATTTTCTGTATGGCGTCGGTGCAAAAACAGACTAAGGAGAGAATGATTCGTAATGCCAAACAATTTCACCTAATCTCCCCCCGACTGTTTATTCAGAAGCTGTGGGGAAAAGCAGCACTTTCCATTATATTATGAATAATTGCATATGCTGTCCTTTATAATTGCATCCCATCCAGTAAACCTAACATATCTTTTTTACTCATCATATAACTACTGTTTAATAAATACGACCTACTTTTATCTACGTTGAGTTCGTAGAGTGTCTTAGCAGTGAAATAACGTACATTGACGTATGTCACATTGGACTCTATGATACCTCTGATCATTCTGGACATTAATAGTACAGACGGAGCATTGGGTCTGATGAATCCTCATTATTTACTGGTCAGTAAAGAGCGTTGCCTTACTTCCAGAACAAAAACAAGGAGCTGAATTTTACGACCTTAAGCGTCACACCTCTTGCACTTACCAGTGTGCCTCCCTATCTCGAGTGCGCACACTGGAAGTCTGCAGCTACTGAATAATTTCCCTTGGGTTAAACTGGGAGGTTTCAAGAAATTCCAAATTCATTCCAAATGAATCCCAAATCAATCATCAACAAATACAATAAACTATTGCATATAAAAATAAAGATACGCCAGCACTTGTCGCATCGCCCACTGTTTTAAATCATTTGCAAAAAAAAATCACCCTTTAAATATGGTCAGACTCAACCACTTTACCGAAGTGTACTTGTTCATCTTCACAGCATCGGCTCCTTGCTGTTTTGATGCAGATGTGGGTGAGATATCTCAAGATCCTCCACCACTCAGTCCAAAGAATCAAACCCAGCGTATCCCCCCAACCACCCCCCACCCCTAACCCCACGGCATTAGATTAAAACTGTAGGATTAGCCAAATCATAATCCTACTATATTGTTTTTAGCATTTTTCCCGCAATAAAATATAAGCCTGTAATCTGATTTCGTCTGAAAAGTACTCTTTAAAAGATTTCTTACTTCTGAAAGAAGGAGAAAGAGAGAGAGAGAGAGAGAGAGAGAGTTTTAGACAGATAGCCCTGGTGTGTCTGGTGTCGGCTGCAGGCAAACCCTTACAGCTGTATGGAAATGAGCTCTGGTGGTTGGGCGGAGATGGCAGATTACTGAACACACAGACAGACAATAGGGCAAACTGCCCTCCCTCCTCCCCCCCAAGTAAATACTCTTATTAATTCCCGCAAATATTTCTCCAAGCGTGAAACTTCGACTTTTCTTCAGTCTCAACTCAACTCAAAACATTTTACAGTTTCAAAGTGTACACATTCGCCACCCACCCACCCACCCACCCACCCACCCATCCCCGCAATGTTGCGGAAACAATACCCGCAACATGCGCGTGTGATCCGCTCCTTTCAGAAAAAGATAACATCAAAGAGACACAGAGAAGGGCTGAATAAACAACGGCACGTGTCCCGCTGCCCCGAGGCTACACATTTTGAACCACAGAAAACTGCTCGCTGTTCTGGGGGGAAAAAATAATTATTTGGGCTAATAACTTTAGGAAGAAGTTACAAGCTGGAACCCACTTCCAGCTCGCAAAAACCTACGCAAATAGGATGACTGCATATTTACTTATTGTTTTTACTAAACTAAACACACCAGTCTGGAAGGTTTGATTTAAACACTTGACAAGTAAACATTATACAGTGTTGTGAGGCGTGGAGCAATTCAGATTTCTGACGCTGAATGAAAACTCCTTATTACAATTTTAAAATTAAACCATACTTTGTTTAAACAGTCAGACCAGACCAGAAGTGAACCTCAGCGGTGACATGGCCGGTTTTATACAGGGCAGTTGATGTGGGCAGCGCATTTGTTATACGGTACCGTCAACGTTTGATAGAATCCAACCAGCATTGCTTTTTGAGTGTCATCCCATCTTTACAAAATGTTGCGGTTAGAAGTCAGACCACTTCAAATAAAGGTACTCGACGATTTCATCTGTTCCCTCAATTTGTGCCATTTACAGTTCTAATAATCATAATAACCCTGGCATTTGATATAGCGCCTTATCGCGTTGGTGAGACGTCTCAAAGCGCTTCACAGAATATACTGTAAAGTGAATTGACTGTATATTTCGTCCGCACCTGCTACAGACTGAAACAAACCTGTTGTTCTCCACCTCCCACCCACCGCCCCATCCTCTCTCTTTTTACGCATGAATACAGCTCACCAGATTAGCCACTGGATACCGGATCCCACACCTGTAACAAAGCCACGCTCTATCTCTTTCATTAAACTTCCTTCAGTTCGCACAGTTTAACGCTGCGCCACGTAGAGAAGAAACCACAGCCAAGGAAATAAAATGCAACAATCGGTCTCGAGTTGCTCCAAACGAGGTAATGATTTTAATGGATCTTGAATCAAAGGTTTGCTGCTGGGTAACCGTTGCTCAGGAACCCTTCCGAAAATGATTACATTTTTAAACCACCCTCGATCTGTGCAAAGATTTACGTTGTTTCTTACGCACAGAATGCTTCAATGCCACGATGCTTAACCGAATTACATCAGCAATTAATCTGGTTTCGATTTTCCGGTACTGATTCAAGTGCACGTGTGTTTACACCAAGAAGGATCGGGCTCCAAATACTAAAGATCAAATCGTGAATTCTCATCTTTTTTTTAAAAAAAAGTAGCAATCATAATATATCGGTCAAACCGGTCAAGGCAGTGTGTGTGTGTCACGAAGATCCTACCGAGGACAATGTTCTGCCAGTAAAAAAATAAAGCACACGGGATTTAAATGGGTCTTAGCTTTCAAACAGCTGCATTTGTAATTAGATTTAACCTGCACTCACTTCCCAAACATTGCAATAACTTGTCAATTGGTACAATGGCAACGCTCCGCACATTAGCCCATAGGCATTGCTGTGAGCAGAGCCAAGAAAGGTTAGTTGAGCAAACAAAGCCGCAGTTGTTGCCTCTCCATATATATATATAAAAAAACTTTGCAAAACATTTTGCCGAAGATGGCGAATTCTGAATATGTACAACCACTGGATCGGCAAAACACGAACGTGTCCACACAAAAAAAAGTGATTGTGAGTGAACCGCCCTCATGTGTTGGAGGGAGGATTGTATATCGGCTCTCATTTGCTCTGTGGCTTATTTACATAGAGGATTGATGAGTTGGGGTTGATAGTAGCCGTTGGTTACCTGACTCTCACAATGCATCGGACCTTCCCTTCTCGTCTCTCCTCCTCCCCATCCGTCCTCCATCCTCTCTATTCTCCCATTGGACAAACCCCGCTCCAAACAAAAGCCATTGCCATCAATAAAAAGCCAAGCAGTCATGTCGAGGGGTCAGGAGTGCCGCTTCCCGACTGCCTTTGACCACACGCACCGCCATCAAGTTCCTTGGAAAGACATCTGACCCCCCCAACCCCCACCCCCCCACCCACCCACCCCCCATCTCATTTTGCCCCCCCACTCCCCCTCCTCCTCTTCCTCCACTGTGTCGATCGCGAGTTTTGTTTTGGGGTGGGTGGGTGGGTGTGTGGGGGAGAAAAAACATGCCAAGAGGATTTTTGGTGAAAAGAAACAAGAAGTCGTCTCCAGTTTCCTACAGGGTTCGCACCGAGGAGAAAGCGGACTACCGGCACTTGCGGGACGTTCACCCTCCGAGCCCCGCGGTTCCCGCGGCAGGACAGGGGGACCCGCGGGTGCAGGCGGCGGCTCCCCGGAGAGGCGGCCCCGAGCCGCGCAATGATGGGTTGGCGCGGGATAAAGTCCGGGACGCCAACCCGGGTCCGGGACCGGGACCGGGACGCGGCGCTTTCCACGCCGAGCCGCCTCTTGCAGACGGCGACATCTCTCGCCGGGCCAGCGCGCCCCACAGCCCGGCCCCGCCCGGGGGGGCGGAACAGCCGGTACACCCCTTCTCGGACCGGTGCCTGGACTCGCCGGCCTCGGGGGAGTCCTTCCCGGTCGGCGCCTCCCTGAACCCGAGAGAGCGGCTTCTGCTGCACCCGCCCTTCTCGGCCGTGCGCGCCCCGGCGGACGGGGCCGCCGCTCACCTGTTCTCACCTGTGCGTCTGCCGACGAGCAGCAGCAGCAGCAGCAGTCAGCGAGGAGCCGCCGCCGAGCAAAGCCAACGCAAGAGCAAGTCCCCCGCCACCGCCGCCACCATCACCGCCACCATCAACCCCCCGAAGAAGCCCAAAGTCATCAGGAAACTCAGCTTCCAAGACGAGATGACCACCTCTCCGGTCCTGGGTCTGAGGATCAAAGTGGACGCCGGCGACGCCAAACTGCGCCCCTCGAGGCGCGGCGGCGCTCTGGGGGCGTTCATCTGCCAACTGTGCAAAGAGCGCTACCCGGACCCCTTCTCTCTGGCTCAGCACAAGTGCTCCAGGATCGTCCGCGTGGAATACCGCTGCCCCGAGTGCGAGAAGGTGTTCAGCTGCCCCGCCAACCTGGCGTCCCACCGCCGCTGGCACAAGCCGCGCCCGGGGGGGCCGAGCGGCCAGGCTCAGGCCGGCAAGAAGCCGGGCGAGGCGGACTGGGAGAGCGAGGAGAACACGGGCAGCAAGCGGGGCGGAGGCGGAGGCGGCGGGGAGTCGCCGCCCGGCGCCGTTCAGCACTTGGACAGCTCCGGGGAGAGCCCGGTGTCGCCGGGGCTGTCGGCGGCGGACGGGGGGGAGCTGTTCCAGTGCTGTTACTGCAGCAAGAGGTTCCGCCGCCAGGCGTACCTGAAGAGGCACCTGACCGCGCACCAGGCAGCGCGCCGCACGGTCAGCCCCTGCCTGCCCTTCCCCTGCCAGCTCTGCGGGGCGCCCCTGCCCTCGGCGGAGGTCCGGGACAAGCACCTGGTGTGGCACGCCGTGGGCCGCGGGGAAGCGGCTCTCCTCGGCCCGGGAGCCGGGGACAGGTGTGCCGAGGGGGACCCGAGTGGGGGAGAGCAGGCGGCGCAGATCTACCCGTGCAAACACTGCCCGTCCACCTTCGTGAGCTCGCCCGGTCTGACCCGGCACATCAACAAGTGCCACCCGTCAGAGAACAGGCAGGTCCTGCTGCTCCAGATCCCCCTCAGACCAGGCTGTTGAGACACTTTGCACAGTGGGTACACTGTGCGGTATTGCTATTATTCGCTGTTGGCAGAGTCCGCTTCTCTCTCTTTTTTTTTAAAAAAAAAACAACATTTTAAAAAAATAATAATAATTTCAATTTTAAAAAAAAAACAACGGGAGCTTCCGTAAACTTGTGAAAATCAATTTCCTCATCTGCTTTTTCTTTTTTTTTTAAAAAAAATGTATGGAATTGGATCTTGGAATCTCTCCCCTCGATTCCCATCACAGTAAAATGAAACGAGAGGATGGATGTTTGCAAAACTGCCACTCGCCCTTTCTCCTTTTTGTTATTTAGACCCCAAATGCACCCCTAAAATAATTTTTGGCCAAGTTTACCCCAAATCCACCCCTCCTACCCAGCGGCAGTTTGTCGATGCGGGAGCCGTTGCATTTGCAAACGTTACCATGAATTTTCCGAATTTATGCACAGGATATCCATTAAGATTTAACAATTACGATTGCATGTCACCGAAGCAAAAGCTAACACGCTGTGTTCAGTGGGTTAGTTGGCTGCAAGGTTGCACTTTTTAAAAATACTGCGAGGTCTTAAGATCATTCGTGAGATGGAAACAAGACTGAGGATTTGGATTTCAAATAGTTACACGTTTGGTCTATTTTTTTTTAAAAAAGGGATTCGATCTAACATAGGTCTTCATGATGTAATCTATGTCCCAATTTTTTTGTGCACATGGGCTGTTATTGATTGTAATATCAACTACCGCACCTTAAAAAAAAAGTTAACTTTAAATTTATCCCCGTCACCAACCAACCATGTAATTTTCCAATAGCTGGATCGGTACCTCAGTAACAGAACTGGCCCATTCATTCCCCAATCATTTTGTTTTTGTTCCTCTTATTATCCGGTTCTTGGCCTTCGGCTTCAACAATTTACCAATCCTGATCTTAATTCCCACACATTCCAGCCCGAAAGGTATTTACCACGTTTCATTTAATTTAAGATGTTGCCAAGGTAGTTGCATTCAAAATCTACGCAAGTAACCCAATCTAACATTGAATGATGTGAATACTGACGCCTCCACAACGTCAATGTGGGTCTTCTGGAAATTTGACCAAACAGCTGCGTATCATTTCCCTTCTTTGGGAAATCGTTCCATTAAGAACATAAAACACCGAGAATTATATCAAACATACCACTCCGGTACCATCAAAATCTCACTGTTCTGGCTGCCTCAGCACCCACAATAGGTTTCATACCTTATGTTACTTACTACACATTGTTTGTTCAGCATCACTCGCCTCTTTAGACCTACCTCCCCGACATGCGATTTATTTTTAAAATAAAAAACGTATTAGTATGAAAAACGACAATTATGTATTTCCCCCAAGCAAAAGACTGAACTTCAACGTTGTTTGTTAGATTATCTGATTTCCATTCATCATCCAGACTTGTTTTTTCTGCCAATTCATCTTTTACTAAAACATTCTTTGCATTACGATTCAACAGTTGCACCAAACATTATTACCATTGTTTATTAGGATCAGTGCTGGCTTTAGCCACCCATCAGATAATGTGGCGAATGTTTGTTCCACATCAAATCTGAACTATACAGTATAGTAATTGTTTCCTCACCAAATACACGTGTATAGGTGATGTATAGCATGAATGAAAATAGTTTAAACCAAGTGCATTAATGGTAGTGGAGAATACGGATGAGCTGATGCCTTGCACCCCTGTAGGATAAGTTATATTCAATTCTTGTATGTTGAACTCCTGCTCTAAACTGGTCTATTAGAGGAAGCTCTGCTGAAGAGAGGCAAATAAAGGGTGGATTAACCAGGGTTCTCTTAACCTTTGTATTGACTTGTGCATGGCAGCATTGACACAAACCTTTGCTTGTTTGCCCTGTTGATTGATTGGGGTGTGCTGTAGAAAAGTTAACTTAAAAATGTTGAAGGTATATCGAGAAGCCTTGTACTGTCAATAATCCATGTATGGAACAAGATGTTTCCTTAACCCAAATGTTCCTGTTATGTAACTATTGTACAATGTTTGTTCTAAGCTTGGGCAAAATGCTCCCTTTAAATAAAGGTGTATTAACCGAATACCTATCGACTGTTGTCCACATTATAAGTAGAATTCCTCCACTCATTGTCATTTTGGTATAACCTGCATAATGTTGAAAATAATACACATACCTGTATTGAAATCTGTATTTTAAAACAAAAACTAAATATATTTATGTTGACGTAAGTTTAAATTATTATGTATTTGCCTTGTACTATATTAGTATGTAAAGATTGCAGTATTGCAACATTACTTGTTTTGTGCCGAACATAGTGAGAAAGTACCAAAATAGCTTTTAATGTAAGTGATATATTTCTATACTTCTAGATATTTATTTTGTGTGCTAGGTAATTCATATTTGTGAAAATAGTTTTTACTCTATGTATTTTCTGATACTGCTTATGTCATGTTTGAGCTATTTTCATACATTTTATTAAACAAAATTGCTTGAACTATTGAATGCATCAGTGATATTAATACAGAAGGGCGAATAACCCAATATATTTGACAAGCAATCCGACAGTATGGAATCCAAAGGATGAAAAAGAATAACTGAAGTCCAAATGGAAGGCAAAGCGAAGCATTATTTCTTAATTGACTTGGGACCACATCCACACACTATATCGCAAAGGTGCATCAAAATAGTGATCACAATATTTTAACTAATCAGTTTATTGTTCTAAGTGGGAATACCAACACACATTAAAGAACATGCACTGGGTTGGGAACCCTGCTGATAGTCTGCCTGGTTTTGTCACCTGTGGAAGACTAGCAGATATATTGTATATTCTGCATGTACATTTGGCAAGATAATGTAGAGTTGCATCTTCCACATTAATTATTCATTGTTATGATGGATCTTTGATGTCAAACACTCCTTAACCATCTCATTGTGAAATCATCTCTTCCAACTGGCTGCTGGTGCTCATTTATCATGGAGAGGCAAGAAAACAAAAATCAAGAATACGAAAAAGACTTTCCAGAGGGTATATAAAAAGGCTTTGAAAACAATTCTAACTAAATACAGCAGCAACTGAAATTCAGAGGTCGAATTTTACAGACCGTCTAAATTTTTTTTATCTGAGTGTCTGAAAAGCAAATAGAAGTAATCGTAATATTCTACTAATGCTGTTGTTGGGAATCATTTGAATTTAGTTACATAAAAATATGTGCATAATTTTTTTTACATGATGAATTGAAGAATTTTGCTTTTCAGCAAATTATTTGAGGTATTTATTGAATTACATAAGGAAATAGCATTCACAAGATTGGCCTCTTCCTAGATTTCATTCAATTGATAAGACTCCATTGATTGAGGTCCTGGATCGCAAGTTGTACAGGATTAATAATCCCTCATTTTAAATCTAAACTACAAGTTTGGACAGAAAATATTGATGAATGCAATGCAGGTTAATATTAGCTATTTCCTTCCTGGAATCTCTCGATCTTAACTGGAACATTATGGAATGGGACAGAATGCAGGTTTGATACCTTCAAAAAGGAGCAACAGTCTCTCTCTCTCACGCACATGTGCGCGTATGCCCACATACACAAAAATAACAAGTCTACTTTAAGCCTGCAATTATGTTCTCGTGGTCAATTACAAACCACAACCACCAGATTCCTAGGTCCAGGAGACCGGACTCCTCCCTCAGCCAGAAATATACAAATTTGGAGTGGCAGGAGGAGAAAAATAAGGGGAAGAACAAAGAAATAAAACAAATTGTAAAAAAAAGTTTCAGTTTCCACATGATCAATCGAAACCCAGTTCCTGCAGTCAAAAGAAATTCTAATGGTATTCTTTATTTAGGAATCTAGTTACGAGATGATGCAAATTTTAATTATTTTAAAATACGGTTTATAAATAGAACCAAATTTATAGTTTAGTGGAATGAATAACTCAGATCTTTTAGTATTATACACTTGTCCATGGTTGCCTGTGTTTTTAAGATTCAGTGAACCCTTTTAATACTATAAGACAACTTTTTAAAATTTGAATTTTGCTAATATAGAAAAATCTCCATAATTAGACATGGTAAGAATATTTTTTATTGTATTATTAAACAGCCATCTTTTCCAGCCATTACAAATCTTATAGACAACTACATGAATGACAATACATAATATATTTTACCTTCCTATGATATTTACACATGCAGTTAGTACTGACATCATGCTACATACAGTTAGTAGTAACATTGCAATTCACCTACAAAATATGAATAATGTTTCCTTGTAGGAAAATACATCTGAATAGCTGGTTTGTGCATTATTTTGCAACTCAGCAATTTAAAGTTGACTCAAATTCAACTGGTCATACACTTTTAATGATCCCTTTTCCCTTTATTGAACAGATCATGGAAAATTGAAAAACATGTTGGGAGTGCAAGCCCTGTAAGAGCCCATATCTACATAGATCTAGAGTTTTTAATTGTTCGAACAATGACTTTCACCTTGCCTCTCATCAGATCAGGTTTCTTTTGTACAGTTTCTTGGTTGCAAGCCATGCACAAGGTAAATAGTGTAATGTAGCTGCATTGTCAGTGTCTTATATTTGTCGATTATCCATATATGTCAGTGTTTCAAATAAATGTAAGTTCATACGCTTTCATCAGGAGAAACATTAATGTTCCTCATAAGATGACGTTCTTATGGCTGAAATGTTAAGAGACCATTTACATTCCTTGGAAAGTTCATACCTTATAATTTAAAATGAAAATATTCTGTACATGTTTTGTGCCATAAGATTGATTTGGTGAATATATTCTTAACACAACTTTACATCTACATATAAACTGAAAAAAGTACTATACATTCCTGAATTGGTGCACAAATAATCTGAAACGTTCCTAGTGAAAATCAAAAGTATGTACAAACTACACAATGTACAGCAAAGCAAGACTGCCATCATAATTTCCTAGGGATTATGCCCAATAACTAACGAGCCATTCAGTTTAACTGGCCAAATGCAACTGGACAAGAGAATGCTTTAGATAATAGCAATTATGGTTAAAAGTGCAGTAAATAGAGATACGTAATCAAGTGGGTGCAGAGCAGTCACAGTGCGCAACTAAGCAGATTGTTAAAATACATATTTTTGTAAGCTAAAAATAGAACTCCAGTGTTCTTAATAAAAAAATAGCTCAGGGGGAACAAATTTGAACTACATGGCGGAGTGGCGGACATACATTAGCAGGATACAAAACATTTGGATTAAGGAGCAAAGTAACCAAAAAAATCAGCATGGACTTATGGCAAGTTTTGATGAATAAAAGCGCAATTCTTTGTTGGTAACGTGGTCACTAAGATTTATTAGCTGAACCAGAAGAACGACGCAGTTTCATGGACATACGACTTTTGCTAGCACGAGGTGACATTGGAGAGGCTAAGTCGATCCCGTCCGCTCCCTGTGCTGCAGGACTTTCGGCCCGCTGACTCTCTGGGCATAAGCCTGCAAGACAGGGAAATTGGATGCACCATTAATTATACACAATATGGCCTTATGATTTCTCCCAATAAAAAAAGTCCCGATTGTCAGGTTTTCACTTTAAATATTTTACAAGTTTTTTTTTTAAGTAGTGTTTTTTTTAAAAAACAGCTGAATGAAGCATTTGGTGAAATTACATAAAAAATGTCTTACTTGTACTTTATTTTCAAAATTCCATTGTAAAAGGAACAAGGTAATGCACTCCAAAAGCAAACTGGCAAAGTATACATTATATTAGGTGAACAATCCAATTGCTTTCAGTCCACACCCAGAAAAGTGAAAAAAAAGCAAGGCATTCACTCATTTGGTATTAGCCAATAACTATGCAGTGTCAAGTGGACCAGTCCTGGTTCAGTGAAAACATAAAAGAAGAAACAGCTCTTTTGCTTTGCAGTGCTCTGTATGTCAGCAGAAATGATTAATAAATAAAAATCAGACAGCACTTTACATACTGCATCATTGTGATTAAGTTGGACAGGTTTTCCTACCCTTTTCTCTTCCCTCCCCTCAAAATTGGAAAAGGGTGGAAATACAGAAGACAAAAGACAAAAGAATCCAAAAAACATCTAACAATGGAACATGCCGACATTATAAAACCATGCTTTTAAAATGTATAAAATAAAAAAACTAAACCAGCTGAAGCACGACCATTCTAGTACACACAACACTGGACTTTTCACTTACTACTGCATATTTAAAATATGTTCAAAGCAATGTAGAAGCTTGACTGAATCTGCAGCATGATTTTATTTAATACCTAAATTAAATTAAGTGGTGAAGTTAACTTAGAATTAGGAGTTTCAACTTTAAAAATCTAATAAATTGGCTGTCAATTACAAGAATTTGGTATGTTAACTACAGTTTGTATGGAATCAAGTTCAACTTGGAATACTTCACAACTATAAATACAGTTACATAGGCCATATAAGACATACGTCCAAGTAACAGAATTTAATTTTCAATTGATTTACACAAGCAGAATGTAGTGTCGATTCAACCACCCAAGCAAGGGAATAGTTTAACTTGACATAATTCAATATTTTACACTGTCCAACACTGCTCAGGGTCCTCTGCAATCCAAATTAAAGAACTATTTTTTATTTGGACTTAGTAATAGTTTAAAAAGCATAATTGGAATTTTAGAAATATCAACTTGTTCCTCTTTTACAAAGGAAGTAAAACAAAAAAAGTCTTAGTTACTGCAAGCAAATTTAGGATCTAGAAATGAAAGGCCGAAGGAAGTGTTTTTTTTTAAATTTTGCACAGCATACCATTCATAGCTAGCGTGAAAGACCTTCCGTTTCAAGCCTTTGCCCTTTACCTTGATGAGGCCAATGTTTTCTAGTGGAGGTTTGGGAAGAAGAAGAAATATCACAGCATTTCTTTCTTTAAAATGAAGAAAATGAAGCAAAAAAGTGAATAGGACAGAAAGAGCAGAAAAGTGAGAAAGATATGACACACAAATACTGAGTTTGAAGGGTATTATTATTAAATGTACAGAACAGAGATAATGACCAGATACCTCATGCCACTTCACACTGGCTTGGCACTTGTACATTTCTTAAATACACAGCCCATTACTGGAGATGTACAGTATGAGATGCATGGATATTTAGGGACATATGCTTACCTTGAATAATGCTAAATATTCTATGAAAAAATGTGCTATTTCAATTCTTAGATTCAGAGCAACGAGTATTCTTTCATGGAAGATTCAGAATTAGAACACTACTAATGGCTGCAGCACCAAACGGGATATTTCATTTATCCTCAATGCTACACAGAAGATTCATTAAAACTACAGATTGAGATTTGTGCGTTCAATGGCATTTACTAACAAAATGTTAAATAGAAATCATTAGGAAAACTATATTGCTTTATATGTAAAAACTGTTAATCTCTGAATGTGATACAAAACAATGGCTACATGAACTGCAGAGCTCCCAAACACAAAGCTTTGGTCAATTGCTCCTCCGTCAACCCACTAGACCATAAATGCAATCCAGCAGTTCCAATGTGGACATCTGTGGCAACAAGGGAGCTTTCTCAATGGATTGCAGGCATTAGAGACCAAAGACATTTGCAATGCTAACATTTATAAAAAATGACTAGCATTCATTTTGTCTTTCTTACAGGTGATATTCATACTCCTCGACTCCATTCAGGAGCTGATCAGTAGTAAATGTAAAGTTCTATGTGCAGTTTTACAATCCAGTGCTGTGGGACAGTGCAGATACTTTGGTTTTAAACATTCGTGGGAAATCCTAAGGCAACTTTCTTGGCTTATTATAGACTATATTGCTAATGCTTAGGAATGTACCCTCCCACCCACCACCTCCTTCCTTGAAAATTACTCACCTTTAGGTGCAACAGGTCTTATGGTTCAAATTAATTTATCTTCCACATACAATGGGGCACCCCACATAACATCAATAGAGACAAAGCCCATCTAATTACTTTCAAGCCAGATTAAAGCCTGTCCTTTCCCACTCTATATATCAGAACCCTCTTAGATCTTTTTGATTAGAATGACTGAAATAGAGAAATAATGAAGAGATCAACCTTGGAATCCACTTACATTTTGTACACGTAAAAGCAGGTAGGAAGTACAAATAATTTACTGAGCAGTAATTTAACAATTGTTAGTTAACAGCACGTTTGGCTTTGTGTGTTCTAGTCCAGTTGCCTCTTGCTACAGCCAAAAAAAGAATGATAGTAAAAATTTAATACGTTTGGAAGTTGTACGGCATTGTGCAACATGTAAATTTCTATCATGTCCATCAATGGGAAAGAACCACAGGACCTGTGAGTGCTTTGTCAAGGTCAAGGTTAAAACTAGCCCTGAAAGTGGCAGCTGTTCCATTGGGCAAAAAAGAAATCTTTCTCATTCTTCAAATATAACACGTTCTTCACGTACAAGTAGGTTACATGACATGGTTTACAATTTAAATCCTAGAAGTTTCATCACATAGAACAGAGGATTGAGGTGCAAAGCAGGAAACTTTGCAGATGGATACTGTACAGCATTTAAAGACTGAGGAAGACTTCATTATTAAATCAATCCTTAACCTCCACAAAGAAATGCCAACACAATCAAGAGAAACTGCAGATGGACGTCAGATGACCAAACTTGGTAAGACCTTCACTGGATATGGGTTCCTGATATTATAACTGCAGGGATAAAATCAGCCATCTGCTAGGAGGATAGTGATGGCTCCCATCACAAGCCCAAGGGACTCTCTTCTTTCAGCAGTTTCCTATTCAACTGGTTCTTGAACAGTAACCTACTCTTGTGATTGCTGGAGGATAATCAGTGTTAGAAATGCCATCTGAACCTCCTCTATGAGTAGTTATTAATCAAGATTCCATTCCCAATTATTTTTGATAAAGAAGGTGGTTTGTTAACCAGGCTTGAATATGTACTTGACATGAGAAATCTGAGAAGGTGCTTAAGAGTGAAGCTAGACAAATGTTTGAGTGGTAAAGAAGCTTTGGTATGAAAACTTAAAAGGACAGAGTCTTTAGGTTCCTTTTCACTGTGCAGATGGTGGAATATCCAATTTTATGTGAAGATTGACAACTGAAAAACAAATGATTTTTCATTTCACCAGTGAGATCTCTCCTTCTAAGCTAATTGCAATGGAGAGTAGAGTTTATAATGACAAATCTTTGTTTTGGAGATACTTTGATCCAAGTTTTTTTTTGCCACATACAAACAATGTAACTTATATATGACTACATGAAGTTTGATGGACCTCTTTAGATCAAACAGGCTGGGATCCTGAAGATGCCACATTAAAACCCCTCCTTTTCTGTCCATGCAAAGATTTTCCACTTGTTCTTATAAACCTTCTGAGAAGCAAGCTTAAAACTGTAATACATCAATTAGTTGCAGTGATAGCCTCTGGGCACTCCATCTGTTCTTTTCCATAACTAGGCCATTAGCTGAAAGTTGGCCAGGCAATGTTACCAGATTGGAAAAGTAAATCCTCCCTGTATGGTACAACTATGAGATGAATCTCCAAAAGGGAATATGGAAGACCAATTAGAATCATACTGGTAGTCTGTGTTTTGTGATCACACCATGGATCGATGGAAAAGAGAAAGCACAACAGGATCAGATTTATTAGATTACGGAATGTCCAAAGTGACAAAGTAATGATTTCTACCACTAGAGATTTTCAATTGAGTTTCTTCATAAGCAGCATGCCGAGCTAGTCTATTCCTGTAATATAGTGATAATTTTCCAAGGACAGTTAATTCTAGACATTGATTGTAATTCTACTAAACTTTCCTGCAACTATGTTCACTCGTCACTTCGGCAGATGACAAATGCTTAACAGTTTTTTGTTTTCTCTGAGTCTAGAGTAATATGACTTGTTTATTCTTTTACTGAGGACCATAATCTCAAGCAGTTTATTGCTCGAGACCTTTGCTCAAAATATCTTAACATACCGATCAATGCAATGGGATGCAGTCTATACTTGTGATTCCCACATAGCGAGCAATTGGATTTCAACCACATAGCCATAGAAGGTTGTTCAGAAGAAGCCAGACAATTTCTCCCACCTCTTCGCATCCTGGGAGCAAGTCTATACACTTTGTTCTACTTCTGATAATGGGTATACTTACAGTAAAATGTTTCAGCATTCCATCAAAACTGTAGATGGAACCACTCTTTAAAGTTTAATTTGCACAATGCACACTGAATTGACTTTAATAACTTTCCTGATTCTTGTTTGGTTGGACTATGAGAAAATACCTGTTGTGTAAAGTATCAGGACGAGAAACTTCCACAGACTGGACTATCAATAAATAGAAGCAAGCAGTCAGATAGAGCAGAACTGTTACAGTCCCTAAAACGGCTCCATCTGACCTCACCGCTTATACACAGAATGTTTTACTGCAAGCTTTTATGTGAAGTTTTTCTCATCAAGTTTCTTTCAATTGCAATTTTACTGCAATTAAAGTAAATTGGGCTGATTTTGTGCGTGTCTTTCTGTATGTGTTTTAGTCATGTCTTAACCCGAGAGAATATTTAGTTTTGTGAAAATACACAGCTAGTTGATCAAAATGTTGAGCTATTTTACACACACACACACACACACACATGAGTGTTGCCAAATCCCTCTAGAACTATATTTCATTTTTGGAAGAGAATGTTAGATAGCTGTTGTTAGTCTTGATGACTTTAAGAATCTAATGGTGAATTGGTTAAACCGTGAACCCTTCAGGAGCATCAGGGAAAAGTTAAATGGTTTCTAGGCCAATTTACTTTAAAAAAGCAGTGAAAAACTCCCACTGGCCTGACAACTGCCATTTCAGATATTAGGCAGAAGACAATCATTCATGCTGTTTTAAGACTATTCATAATCAATCATGTTCCCATTTTACACAATAGGACAATACCTTTTTTAAACTGCTCAGTTCATAACCAATGAACCTCCCAAATTCAAATATCGATTAAAGACAGGAACATGGAAACTAAAGAATTACCATAGAAAAGGTGCAAATAAAACAGACTGCATGCCCTATGTCTCTATCCCTATGACATGCAAATACATCTAATAAATACATAGATCATGTCACTAAAACTAATGGGAAATTGTGGAAATGATTTCCACAGCAGATTTTATGAAGAGACTATGTGGTACTGAATAAACTTGATTATACTTCCAGTATAGAAAACTACCTTCTGTAAAAGATGACAGTCTTAAATTGGGGAAGAGAGGTAGCGAAATAAAGACACCACAGCAGTCAAGCGACAACCTGCTTGCTTAGAAGTTTGAAAAAAAAGTTACATGATGGCTTTGTGAAAACATCAATCATTCTGTAGTTTGATAATATTTCTGCTGCCTAATTATCAAAGGAAAATCCTCATCAATGTCTTTAATAACAGAGTTTAGTTCTTATGTTTTTTTTATAATAAACTCATGTTGGTTAATTTCAAAATTAAAAGTGAAATAAAAATTTAAGGTACAAAGTTGCAAAGTTATTACAACTGAGTATTTCTGACACATTTCTCTCCAAGAAATTCCTCCAAGCTAGGCCCTGACAACATGGCTCAATTGGTAGCACTCACTGCCTGAGTCAGAAGGTTGTGGATTGAAGCCTCCATGTTGGATTTTGAGCTCATTGTCTAGGCTGCTCCAATGCATTGCCAGGGGAGCGCTGCATTGTTGGAAGTCTCATCTTTTGCATGAGGCATTAAACCGAGGTCCCACCAGCCTGTACAGGTGCACGTTAAAATATCCCATAATATTGTTCAAAAACAGAAGAGTTTCTCTAGGTGATAATCTCACAATGAAATTAGTCATTCATTTCAATGCTGCTTGTGGACCATTACGCTGCCGAGTTTGCCCAGAAATGCACACTCATTACACTTTACAGAAAAACTCAGAAGCACTTTGAGACGTGTTGATGAAATTTTTCAAATGCAAAGTATAATAAAGTGAGACTTACATACAAATTGCACAAACAGTTAACAATTCTTATAATAGCTGACTGAAGTGTAATGCTCTTATCAAATTTTAACACTGTAGTGTGATCTTCCTGATTAATTTGGATTTTATTGCATCTGAAAATTTTCTTTTACCTCATTATTATTATTGAGTGGAGCATTTTTGCTGCTGACATCAGTGCCAAACAATACAGAATATACAGTTCAACAGATACATCAGTGCCATTACTTCCGATTCATGCGAGAGGAAAAAAATAACACCGCATGGAGAGGTTATTTGTTGAAATCAGTTTCAACTGCTGTTAAAACACATTCCAGCTGAATGGTTAGTAACACGTGCAGGCCTGGGGTTAGTAAACTCTTTAGACAAAGACAATACTTCAATAAAGCATTTGGGAAAATTCCTTTTTAGTACGAACAGAGCATCAGAAAGGCTAGTTTAAACTGTTATGAGTTTAGTGCTCTGGTAGGACAGTCACCTGAACATAGGCTTTCTCACTGAATCTTACCTTTTGATATACAGAACTGACATTTAATGATCTAAAGGGGAAAATAAAACAATGAAAATAATCACTTTGATATAAGGTAGATATGCACAGGATAGGAACACCTCGAATTACCACCTTTATACGTATCAAAGTGGGTTAATGGCACTATGCAGTATATACTGCAGGATTCGAAGACAATACAACAAAGTTAGGATAGCATGATCATATTGACAAATTTTAAACAACAATTTTTAAACAATATAGACATTAAGGCAAAAAAACAAAGCGTTTAATACATTTTAAGAAGCAACTCATGTACCCATATAATAACGTACAGGTGCTCAGGTGAAGTAACAAATCTTAAAAAAGAATGCATGACTCTTCCTCTCAGGGAAAAAAAAATCAATGACATTTATAAAAATTCTATAGAAATGATTTTAACAGTTGCTTATTTTTGATGAACTTTGTAAATAGTTGTTCAATTTTACATTTAATATCTTGCAAATTTTCTCCGTCAAGTCCAAACTAATTTATAAAATTAACCATTTATTTAATACAGATATCCTGGATACCTACTGCAGGGAAATTTAATTATAGCTGTGATCAGCTGGGTCTAACTCACAGTGGCCATGTTATAAGTGAGGTACTAAATAATTGGTTGACCAGGTTCGCTAGATCACCACTGTTTGTGTGCTCGGCTCTGCACAGGAAGCACTGTTAACTGGTTAATGTCACTTCCTTTGCAAAGCGATGTTAGCAGCGCTTCTTGTGTATAAGACATAACAGGCAAGAAGTCAGGGAAACCAAAAACCCGAAAGTCTGTTTTTTTAGCTGATTATATAATTAGTCTAGATCCACAGTAACACATCCTATAAGTGAGGAAGTGTAACATCAAAGGTTGCTTTCATAATGTTCCCCTGTATCAGGTAATTTATTAAAAAAACAATTATCATGGTACTAGAATACTTAATGTTGTAATGTTTAAAATCAGTCAAGGGCTACAAATCAACACTATGCTTGTAATGAAAACAGGACTGTTAAGGGATTGTCTTTTGATAAACCTTAAATTTTGAGGTGAACTCTTTATTCATACCTGAATCAGATGGCAAGTAGTGACAAGGAGCTGGACAAAAGACCTGAGCAGCAAAATCTTCAAATGTTGTTGGTTCCTGGTGGTGTTCCACAATTGTTTCCAGGTATCGAGCTCTCTCTTCATAGCTGACATTTGAGTTAAGTAACATAACCATATTTGCTGAACAAACAAGAACACAGCAATTCCAAAGTGAAGATGATATTCAGACTGAAAACTAAAATTTGGAATTATAACCATCAACAAAGGTCTGTGAGAATTCTACGATTCTCCTTGAATATTCATATTTGCCTTCCAAAATATATATATTATATACACACACACTATTTGTAGTCATATTTTGTAAAGCACTTTGAGAACGTTTTACTTGAAAGGCACTATATAATACAAGATATTATTAAAGAATCAGCAGTACTCCTACTCATACCTCGTGTTTCTCACGTCTCCTACCCCCAGAAAACGACTTAATGTAAAATAATAATAATCCTTGCAATTGATATAGCACCTTATCGTGTCTTCGAGATGTCTCAAAGTCCTTCACAGAATATACTGTAAAGTGAATTGACTGTATATTTTGTGGGCAAACTCCCCACAAAAAAATCCACTTTGTGTAAAATAATGAAGAATATCGGCTGAAACATAGTGTAAATATAAACTCCATTCTCCATTTTAGGATAAAAGTCAGCTATTAGTAGAAATATGCTCGTCACCTTTATTGACGTAGTAAAGACCAGTTAATGTTAGGTTTTTGAAAAGGGGCAAGAAAAAGCATCATTGTTAAAAAGTAAATGCTTTCTGATGAGCTTAAAGTATTAGCAAGTATGCACAAAATGTAGCACTCCTATGTTTACATTGGGCTAACTGCTGAGGGTCAGCACAGAACAAATAATTTTTAAATTTTCATTGAAATATATAGTTCTATTCCTTGCTCTTTTGGACTTTGCCACCAATCATTAATGGTTCACCTTTTATTCTGTCACCAGCTACAGACTTAAAACACAGTTCGAAAACATTCAAATGCAAGAATTATTATTATTATTATTATTATTCAGTGTTTGACTTCCTGAGAGCTGGAAAAATTTTCTTTGCTCATCACATAACCTTACTTTGGTTTATGAGTTTCTGTTCCTTTATCGATTCATGTAACTATGTATCAAAAAATGTTTTATTAATGAAGAGCATTTGTATTCTTTTTGATCTGCTAAGATCCACCCGTTAGAGCTTTGGTTTGCATGATAACCAGGAGCCAAGTCAGAAGAATCCTAGTCCCCAGTGATTGGCCTGCTCCTCCAAGTCCTGCCAAACTGGCTGTTGCATCCTCAACAGGATCCTGGCTCAGATATTGGACTACCAAGACAGAGACAGCAGTTATACTACTGTCCATGTACACCTCAACTTATGAAAAAGATTCACTGTTCACACATGTGCATGCATCATTCAGATTCCATTGCACAATTCATATTTGAACACTTCTGCAAATATTCTCCAATGCATCTTTGGACCAACTCAGACAGGAACCAGGAACTCATTTTATTTGGCTCGCTGCAGTTCTGAAAGAGTTGCACATTTAATAATAATAATCCTTGCATTTAAAAAAGCGCTTTTCACTTCTTCTCGACGTCTCAAAGCACTTCACAGAATAGACTGTAAAGTGAATTGACCGTATATTTGTGGGCGAAACGATTTTTGTCCCAAACATTAGCAAACCATGTGCTTATAAAGATTGTAAATAGGATATAAATGATGGATGATGGACAAAAATCAGAGGTGCTCCACATTTGTTGTCCAGAATTACGTACGAACATTTCAAAACCTTCCACAATTAGCTGATAGGTTACTCAGAACATATATAGGAATATGAAGAGATGTACCTTGTGTTAATCTTTTAATTAATCATTTTGTGTTTAACATTTCCATAACCTTCTACTTTTCACTTGTATCCTTACACAACTCCATCCTCTCCTCATTTTCTTTGACTGCTTTTCATTTTAATTATGTTTTTGTGGTTTCTACCACATTTATTTACGTAGTTTAATGACCAAATTTGTGCAGCAAATTGGTTAGTGCAATAATAGGACTTCACACCGATATCCATCATTTATATCCTATTTACAATCTTTATAAACACATGGTTTGCTAATGTTTTTGGGCATGTTGTTCTGAAAGGAGCTGTATAATGATGGAAGATATGCAAGAAGTAAACTGAATTGCAAGTCTGCAAATCCATGTCTGGACCTGCATTTTTACAGCTTTGGTCAAAAAAGATTATTTTCCTCTCTCAGTAGCTTCACAGCTGCAGAATTACTGTTACTAATGGTGCCCTTTCATTGGCTCCTGGATAGAAACCACCAGACTTTTATATTACCAGAAACTAATTTTCTATTTTTCCAAAAAGAAAGAAAAACGCAGTTATTGCAGCTCCCACCTGCTGTGCTTTTCATTCTGCGAGATGCACTCTACTAAGAAGTGTCTCTCGAAAAAAAAATAGGATTGAAGTAGTGAAGGTATAAAATGAGCTTCTTAGCACATTAGAAGAGTTGAATCTTAGGAGCCCTGAAAGTTCCCAATAGTGTGTTAATTTCTCTCTCCATACATGCAGTTATAGATAGCTTCCAATTGATCACTCTTCACACAGGAGATGCTGCTAGGAAGAAAAGATAAGGAGGGCCACTGGAGAAATACCCGTTACCAAAACAAGCAGTTCTGAAAACCTATTTGAAAAGGAGGTTCACAATGTCATAAACTAGGTGGAAATTCATACATATAACCATCCCTACTCCTCCTATACAAGTGACAAGTAATAGGGTCTGAGTCACGACGTGGGTTTAAATTGCACATCCTTGCTGTAAATTGTCATCTGGTAATAAGTTATCAATGAAATGGAAAAAAAATGCAGACAGCTGCTGCATTCAAACGGTAAATGCAATTAGAATACAATTTACTTCAATCCAGAAAAAAAATTATAATGGCAATAGACTATCTTGCCTACCAAGAGGCAAAACAGGGGCTATCTAGTGACGCATTCATTCTAAACATGGTGTGTTAGGGACAGATGTTATCGATCTTTAAAAGGAATAATTTTTAATAGATTGGAACCAGGAAGGTCATCATTCTCTGATGTTTGCCTCTCCTGAAATAAGTTAATGAACATTTAACATTTAAACCTTGCAACCTTATAAAAATAGCAATTGCATTTCTATATCTAAATGATGCCAACAGCTCCCCCCCCCCCATTTCTAAATCCTTCAGTAAATTTATATAATCCTGTATCAAAACCTGGCAGCATTTATCAGGTTAAGCTTACTAACACATATCGGTAGATAAATAGACTATATAAAGTAAGCATATCAAGGCAAGTGGGGAAACGAAAGCCTCAAATATAACAAATACTTCATCGCATGTTACTGACTGATCACTGTTGGTACACAAACCAGATTACACTTACATTCTGCAGGACCAGGCCACTCTACTTCATACTGACTAAGAAGTATGTTTTTTCATTACCAGTAAAATAGCTCAAGGCTTCACTTTGTAACACATTCGTGCATCTGAATATATCGGATGCATTAATTGTTTGCAACTCATTGTTCTTCCTGAAGTTTTACTTTAGGACAATAAAACAAGCTATTTTAACAAGCAAATCTTGAGTTTACATTATTTTACAGCATGAAAGACAACAAAATGTGTGCTAATCCAAGCCTTTAACTATGCTGCAATTTGTGTAACATTTATAATGTGGCTCAATTAAGAGCCTGGCAGGACACCTGGCACTTCTTTATTTGGGTCCTTGGGCTGCAGGCTGACTGGAAATCCATGACAGGTGCTCAAGCACGGCAACCACAGGCTGTTAATACTGCATAGAGTCAGCTCAGATGTGGACCTTGCATGACCTCTTCCAAATCTACCAATTACTCGATGAGAAATTTGTCTTAGTAAATTGCATCACGCGCTTCCCATCACAGTTCAACACTGTATAACGGTCCGTCCCACTGAAACATTACTTATGATTTACAACCCCATATCAAATTAAGGAAAAAAGGCATTCACCACTCATTCTTTTGTGCTTCTCTTTTCCTCTCTACACCCTCCTTCGGTACAAACACTACTTCAGCATCTAGTACCCTCCCTTCTGGTAATTTAACTATGCTTATTTTACTAAGTAGAAAACAGTCTTATAACACAATAATCACACTAATACATTATTTAACAGTGGTAAAGCATTATATGAAAAATGCAAAGCAAAACTGTTGTGGGACACTAATTACTCAAAAGATGCTTTTCCAAGCACCAGATAAAATACAAACACAAACACAGGCTGCTGGCACCACTTCATTTACTAGGCTTATGGCCACACATTTAAAACAAATGTGCATTGAACATTCTTTTTATTTACAACATCTTCTTCCACTTTACGATTTAACATGTTAGAATTCTTCAAATCATTTTCTTTAAAGGTGCATACTAAAATGGAATTTTAAAAAGGTAGTCATTTTACAACAATGTCTCAAATTTTGCAAAGTGTTGCAATCAAAACTTAATATCCCCAGAGATCTAACAATTTGCTGAGTGCTAGACCACTGTAAAGCCACATATTAGTTAAAACCTTGCCATCTGAACACAATATATCCAATGTTAAGTATTAAACAGGAAAAATTACATTTCTTTAAGTGCTTTATTTGCAATCCATCCTTAATTTGGCTTAAACTGGGACAAATTTCAAAGTCAGTGCATCATATAATCCATCATAATAGCAGTTATGCATCATGCAGCAGTTACTTTCAGAATCTCTTGGTTTTAATTTCTCTGACCTGCAGTTATTTGCAAATGATCAATGCAAGATTAGGATACGTTTTAGATATTATAATATCCCAGTACAAAGTATTCTGATTTTGCCTTTAATGCCAGGTGCCTTCTGCAGTTTACAAAGGTCAACTCTCACCCCAAATTAGTTTCCCCATCTCCTGTTTAAATTTGCAGCTACAATGGCCATACAAATTATATAATTACTATAATGAGACATAACAAGCTGCAGTACACTGCCATTAAAAACAATGTCACATCATTTTAGTCTCAGCACATTGCCATATACAAAGTCAGTCTCCCCAAGGCAAAGTACAAAGCCAATAACTGGATTTCAACCTCCAAGTTCCTGCTATTTGTCATGACTTAAATATGTTAAAGAGTGTAAAACTGAAACACACAAATAGCCAGCATAGTTCCCTCCCCCCTCAATAGGTTGTAGTCTATACTTTTAGCAGTCACTCCTGTGGTGCATTTCATCAGTTTGATCAACTAGTTTATTCTTCTCATCATCAATTAATCATCAGTAGTATTACGGAGAAATATTTTGTCTTGTTCCATCTCCTCTCTTTGCCCTACAAACAAAGTAAAAAAAAACTTTTTTTTTTTTTGCCTTGCAACACCTGTACCGAGGTGGAATTTTAAAATACTTTGGAGCAACAGGATAGAATAAATGCTGATCAATGCTCCCTGAATGCTGCTTGCTAATGATCTTGAGCTCCTAAAAGGTATGGAAATTATGTTTTACTTTTGTTAATTCAGTTTATCGGAAGGTGGAGAAATAGAAGAAATACTTCACTCCCCCCCAATGTAATATTCAATTTTAACATCTAACTCAGAAGAATCAACACCCACCCTAATCACAGCAGTGAAGTTCTATTTCTCACACTGCTACTATCTTGTGTTTCCTGAGTGAGGTTGCCGATTTACTACAGTTTTGCTTCAGGTAAATCAAGTTATGTTTGAAGAAACTAAAAGGAGATATGAAGTCTGTTTTCTTTTAATGTCATGCCTTCCTTAAATTGTTGGAAAATTATGACTTTAAAGAAAAAAAGGAGACAATGATCATTAAATAAAGAGGCTACACAACTTTAGCTTGGGAAAATAAAAAGCCACAAATGTAAAAGAAAAGTTCAGCAGAGATCTTTTTAAGGCTCCCCCCAAAACAATCACAAAATTGATGGGAGTAAAATATGAATTAAATAAAAATATACTTGAATCATGCAAAACGTTGCATATAAACATAAGATAAACAAATAAACATATAAACAAATAATGTCAAATAAAAATAAAAAACAGCATTTAATAACCCAAAACACAAATAAATTAAAATACCCCAAAGTGCCATAAAAAGGACATTTGAAAAAGTCAACACTGAAATGAAAAGAGACAGCATGGCTCTAATTACTGTTTTCTATTCTGTCATTAAAATTGCATTTAGGGGAGAATTTGAATGCATTTACAGTAATAGTCATTAGATTCTGCTCCTTAGATTGATCATTGTGAACATATAATTAAGAAAGTTAGTCACATGAGAACCCACCAAGCTGCTGTGTGGGTTGTGATGCCTCAACGTTGCTATTGTGAATACTTGCTGGACTGTATTCCCACACAGAGTTAAGTGGACCATCAATGCCACTTGATTAGAGTTCAGCAAAACAATGCAAAGCAGCCAGGTTTCATAGTCTGAATAGAAATGAGTTAAAGCTGAGTAAGGCACTGACCCAAGCTCCCTATCACGCTAAACCATATGCCAAACCTTCTACCATTGACACTTTATCACAAGAAATCAGGAGCTGTGGCTTCCCTGTGAAAATCCGACTTCACATACCCTCTGTGCACTGTGCTTCTAGTCAGGGGATGTGCTCAACAATGTTGCCTTTTCACAATCAGCATGAACAGATGGATGGCAACAAATGTGGCTTGGCAACCAAAGGTTATTAAATTTTAATAGCCTACATATTAAAAACAAGTGATTGAAAAAATCAAAGGAAAGGACGGAGACATGTGGTACAAGCTCTCCTCTACAATCTGTAAATGATTGGGAGGGAAAATAACATAACATAAGTCTCTCCGGCTGAAAAGGGAGCAGATTAATGAAAGTCCTTGTAACATATAGCAATACTACAGTATTGAGCAAAACAGTAAATTGTTCAGTCAGGTGTCACAAAATTTTGTACAAAATCTGTATTAGTACTGTTATGAACTAGCTATTCCAGTTCAAACTAAAAGGTCAAAAATCAGGAGGACTGACTTGCCCCTCCTTCATCATTGCCAACTGTAATTTATTATAAAGCTATGGTACTGAGTTTAACTATTGTGAAAATGTACAGTTCCACATTTACAGATAATCCAGGGTGTGAAAATTAACACAACTAAAATGTAAACTGAAATAGGTTAGTTAATTTATCAAGTTATATTATTAATAATAATGCAGTTATATTATTAATTACCCTAGCAAAAAGTTAAAAGCCTTCCATTAAAGCATTACAGTGATATTTGAGCTTCAAAAGTCAGGCATTAAAAAAAACATTGTTTATCCAAATGTCATCTTTTGCAAGTGCAAAAATCGGCCAACTGTTATTATGAATATTCTACCACGAGAATGCAAACTTACTGCCAGCTGTTCCTGTAATTCACAAAACTCCCCGAGTGATTCATATCGATGGCTCTTGATTTTATGATCTGCATTAAGATAAATCTAATTTCTTTCAAATACATCAGAAAGTAAAATAAGATGGCAAAGTTTATCCAAATTTCGTCCCAAAGGTTCAATTTCTACAGCAGGTAGTTTACTTTCTCCCGATCCCTAGCGATGCATTACAACTGCAATTGCATGATCAAGCCTTAAATTGTACACAAGGGAGAATGTGCTCCATTAAAAGTATTTTCTCTAAGACAAAGCAATCAAAACATTTCAATGATCTTCAAATTATGAACGACTTAAGACACAATATGAGAAGCTGTAAAAATATCAGAGCTAGACAAACATCAATAGTAGCAGATTACTGTAATTCTAGCTGTCACGAAGACTGATCCGTGTAACACATGCCAATCAATATGTGCCTCATTTGCTGAGCAATATCAGATACAGAGATGGATGAAGATGGCTCAGCTAAGCTTCAAGTCAAGTTTAACTGAATCCAGCTTCAGGCATAATTGTGGTGCATCAATGGAATCTAACTTTAATGATTTTTTTAAGCATAGGAGAGAATAAAATGCCATACAGCAGGGATAGAAAAAAAAGAACTTTGGGATTTTTAAATTAATACAGGGCTATGAAGGATTATTTAGACATAATAAAAATCAATGTTTTTGTGAAAAACACATTTGGTGTTTCAAGTGCACTTTGTATTGCATTAGAAATATGAAGGATGGAAAAGGCATCAATATTCATTGATTCCATTAAAATGACTGATTTCAGCTTGTTGTCCTGTATGCTACTGCAATGCTTTTCAATGAAAGTAAGATGCAATCTGTGCTTCAGTCTGGCACAACAAGAGACATTTGTAATGGCATTAACGCTGATCAATGCAGCATGCCAGCACCCATCTGTGACAACCAAAACTTAAATTACACACGGACAATTAGATGAAGGTGCAGAAAGTCTTTCTAAAAGACTTTGATGCAAAATGTGTTCAATTCAATTGTTTCAAGGTCATGAAACAGAACGATGCCTAGCAGATGCCTTTATGGTGAACAATTCTTTTAGATTAAACTGCACAGGTTACAGGAACAAATTACGAGGTGGAAGTATGAAATTTAGAAATTGTAATATTGAAGTAAATTTGACAGAATGGTGGCTTACCTACAGGAGGTAAAATCTTCTTGGTCAGGTGTGGATAAACTGCAACAAAGAATCACACTTTCCAAGCACTGTTCATACCATTCATAACCAAATGCAGATTTAGTGAACTAGACAAGTGCCCATGTTCAATTCCAGCAGGATTTGAAGGAATAATAATCCCTGCATTTGATATAGCACCTTTTAGATGTCTCAAAGCGCTTCACAGAATTTACTGTAAAGTGAATTGACTGTATGATTTGTGGGCGAATCAAAGGATTACTAGACATACAAGACTGTTTAACTAGTGGTTCTAAGTACAAAAAAGGTGTCTCTTGAAAGTTTTCAAGATGAATGCGACTGATGTCTCGAGTGTAAACTAACCAATGATAGGAATTTAAAGCAAAAGAAGCCCTGTCAGTCAGATCTGTCCATTGATCACAGACAGGTTGATTTTCCTTTACTCCTTCCACTGATATGTGCTGAATTGTTGAAATGATTCAGGGAGAGCCAGACTGCTCTTGAGCTTGTCGGGAGGACCCATCAATAACCTATGCTACACCCACAATAATGATTTCTCATTCGTATAGGAATGTATTGTTAGGATAACATGGGAGAGAAAAACCAGGGTCCCAATTCCAAGGTTCACTTGTAGTGGCTGCATAAATAGGAGTGTTCATGTGCCTCTGTGGGGTCCACTGATAATGACTTGACAGCCAAAAACAACCTCATCCAGATAAAACAAAATAAAAGAAAACGGTAGTATTATTTAGCACATTGAAACAAATCAATTGTGCATTGTAGAGTTAGGAAGCTATATTATCCTGATATTGTGAAAGAATAATTTAAGAAAGGATACAAATTCTGATACAGTGGAATGAGCGATTTTAATGCTCGACTTGCATTTATTGCTGTAGCTTGGACCAAGCACGGAAGAACCTTTTCATCCACAATTGCACCATCGAAGAGTGGCCCAAAAAATGGAACCTGTATAAAAAAAAGAAAAATTTTTGGTTCAATTTTATTGAAATGCTTCCCTCCCCTCCATAGAACTAGATAGAGCAACAAAAGGAGAAACAGTTTAAAAACAGGTCCCAAAGAAATCTACAGTACAGACTACACAAATATGATTGCTTTAGTAAAATTAAAATTCTAAAGCTTTTCAGAGATGAAATAACAGATATACAATTTAAGGATTATTTACCTCAGGCTTCTTCATTATCTGGATACTAAACATGTGATTTTTCATTGGATAAATAACAAGTAGCACATCACCAAATTCTGTAGGAATGATTCCTCTTCTGTAGTCTCTTGTATGCTCTGACCAGATGATATGCACTTCATCATTCCCCAGGTGTCGCAGCTACCCAAAAACAGAACAAATTTTAAAAAAGGGAAAAGAAAAGAGAGCTTAAATCCTGGAGTATGACTGGAATGTTTCAGTTATGGAAAAAGACCACTTGAAATGGACAATTTATTGAAGTTGCTGCTACAATCAATAGTAATTGACATAATTACAAAAATAGTCAATAAATTGATTCAACCTTGCCAAATGCAGCACTTTAAATTTATGACATTTTTATAATTCATCACAGTGCTTACATTCCTCATGAGTTTCATCAATTTTAAAGTACCGTAATTTAAAGAATGCCACTAGTTTATGAAAATTGCTGCATTTACGTTTGCTTCCATTGCTTTATTTCTGTTAAAAATTCTCACAAAAACTGGGCATGGCTTTCATCTTTGAAAGAAAGATTTTGTAGAAATAAAATTGTTTTTTAGTTCACTTTTCTTTTGAAAAAAAACTTCACCTCCCTGGAATATTTGATTCAAATCTCAAATGTATAAATGATTTGCTAAGATTCTAATTTTCAGTAAAACTTTTTTCTTTTTTGATTCAATTCTTAGTGCATTCTTTGGTTATAGATTGGGATCTTTGCTTTTGGCAAACAAAATTCTTTCCCGATTTTAGGCCCAACTAATCCAATTAGATGCATTAATCGTCTTGTTGTTAAGGTGAAACAACTATACTCCAATAAAACACTTTAACTCCTGCTCGTTAAGGTGTCAGTGAATAGATTATTGCCTCGAAAGATGTATGCGCAGATAAAAGGGGTGACAGCCTAATAATGCTCTATTGTTTATTTGCAAGACCGCACCAGTTTTAAAATCTAAGTTCCAGCAACAGTTTAAAGTCATTATTGTAGAATCTAATAGATTCTGCAGACAAATACCAATACAGATGGTCATTTGTCACAGTAAAATGCACATGCAATGTTCCCACAGCACATCTATGGCCTGTACTTGCTCTTCCAATATATTAAATTACCGTAAATGTACATTAAGGCTGCTCGTAAGATTAGGCAATCCATCCGATTACTGCTCAATTCCTATATAACAGTAAATTGCAGTAATGAAGGTATTACCAAGAAATACCCAGCTTAACCTAATTTTTTCCAAATCCTGCCAAAATGACAAAAAGATTAATCAAGTCATTGACAGTCAGATGTTTCAAAGCCTCAAGCGGATGGAGTCAGTCAGTAAATGTGCTACAAAACAAAGCACAAAAGTAAATAAAATGCCAGCCACATGGAGAGAAGAACCTTGAGAGAAGGATTGTATTTTGTATTGCTAACTGTGATTTCACATAACTGACACACTATTATCTCCGCATTAATTTAGCGAAGAAATGACCTGTCTCCCATCAGCATCATACTTCCTTCGGGTTTTTCTTTAAGAATGGTGCATTTGGTTAATGAAAGACTTATTCTTTGTCAATCATAGGAGGCACTTGGTACATCGTCACCTAGTTTGATTCAGATATTTTAAACTGTTAATTATACCAAATAACAAATGATTCATCATTTCATTGTGATATTGTCAGTTTTGCGAGTATTGTGATAGGAGGTCGTACACAATGTTGCACTTTTTCTATTCAGCAAATAAATAAGTAAATCTGAGCTAAAGTATCTTATAGGCAGTGAAACAATAATGTGAATGTGCAGTTATGTTGTGTGGCAGTCTTTTCTCCTTCTTGAATGCCATTAAAATTTTGTATTCCTGAGGGCCATAACGCAAGTCATGCTACATTCTTAACATGTGGTTAAACATGCGATCAGTTACCATCTGTAGATAGAGCAACACAGTTGCAGTTCTGATGTTTTTCCATCAGATTATATAGCTGCACTGTATCAAGCACACTAGTGACATCTATCTGCAGAAAAGCACAACTGCTGGAATTGTGTTAATCGCAATTTCTGGCTTGCAAAATTCAGGTTTGTGAATCGCTAATATCATAATCCAATATTTGCAAAGTAGCAGTCTCAATTAAAGCAACAAATTCAGTTTATGATCATCTGTACCCTAGCAGAACACTACACTGCTGCCGAAACATGCGAGTAATAAACTTGTATAGAACAAAATTTACCTTTTTTGTCAAGGAATCATCCGAATCTGAAGGCATCCTTGTCGATACATGAAACATTACTTCTACTGTAGACGTAGCAAAGTAAGGAGTTGAAAGCCCAGTGCTTTTATTTCGTTGTAATCCACCCATAAAGCCACAATGATTTGTAAGATTGACCTGAACCATAAAAAAAATGGAAATAAGAAAAATGAAGTGCAAACAGCATTATTTTTGTGAAAAAATATTTTGAATTTTGATATGCATTATTAGAAAGAACATAAAATACCTCCCAACCAAGCCCTGCTACAAAATCCTCATAAGCTTGGCTTCCTCCAGTATTTGTAAGGATGGAGTGCTTGTCTTCTTGCCCTCCAGCAACATAAAATACTGCTATCTTATGTGTTTCTCGACTGTATGATAAAACAATACATAGTTATCTGATGCAAACAACAAAATTACAGACTAAGATGATAAACCATATATTTAGTTCAAAAAGAAAATGTTATGTTTCTGTACTGTCTTTCACATTCTTTGAATATATCTCACACAACTAAGCAGTAACAAATAACACAATTTTTGATTTGCAGCTCTGAAAGCGTAGTCCATTAATGTAAAAAAATCTACATTTCAAATCAGAAATTGAGAAACAGTGGGGCAAGGAGACAGGGTTAGGGATGTGAAGGATTAAATGCAATGAAAGAATGAGGGTAGTTAATCCAACTTTCTTCCTCATTCATTTATTCTCCACATACATCAAGATAATGCCACATTAGTGCCAAACAAAATGGGGTGGGCTTCTTACGATTTGATTTTTCAAGCCGTGTTCAGGACAAATGTGCCAAAAAAAGCATCTTCCTTGGAAGATAAATCTAAACAATATTGTCTAATTAAGGTGTCTTGGCTTGATGCCTTACAAACTGAATCTAAGGTGATTCTTGACTTCAATTCAGGTGCAACAGACCCTTGCTTAACCTGCAGGCTTTTGACTCACAAACTGCTAAGAGTATAGACATGACCCATTTAGAAATGGGTGTACATAAGATTCTTACATAAGGAGAGGCTAACAGTTGCCTTGATCTATGCAAATTGTAACCTTATAGTTGCTGCACAATATCCAGTCAATACTAACTTTTCCCTACTCAGACACTTCAGCGTCACCATCAACAACAATGTTTACATTTACATAAAAAATTTATGAAATATTCTGGTTTTCAAGTAAATTTTTTTTGATTCGATGTTCACTAAAAAAGTGGATATTCAAAGTATCGCAGCAAACTAAAATGCCAAATTCTATACAGTAAAATAAGGAAACACAGCCTTTCCCACATTATGCTCAGTGAAAAAACTAATACAGTATTCATATTTAGACTAATGGGAACACTCAATGAAAACCTGCAGGAGACATTTTCTACATTAATGGACTACATTCAGAGCAGAGGATAGATTGGTGGCACTTTTAACACTGCCTCATACGTTGGCATCTTTAAAGTAATATTTACCATTGTCTTGAGTCTAGGTTTTTTAATTCTCTAAGTAGCTTTTCATTTTTCTTCAGGAGATGGAAACTAGTCCTGCGGTAAGATAAAATGCTGAGAATTAGACAACAAAATTAAAATTTTCTATTTAGGCATGCATAACAGAAAATTACCAATGATTTATAAAGCACTAAATGAATAATAAAGCTGTTCTAATGATATCACTTGACCATTAGAATAAAGTTCAATGATGCACAGTTACAGAATCAGGCAGGTTGAATTACAGGGACAAGTCACCGCCACCTCTACTTCTCTACTTTGAGTCTGGAATGACTGCCTGCAATCCTATCAATATTGAACACTTTCCATTCCTTAAATGGCATACTAGGCAGAATATTCACATATAGTTTCACATCCCAATTGGTGTTCAACCTTTATATCAATTATACATACAGTAGCACAGGACTTTGTCAACTTAATGTAGAATGTAAATTTTTATTAGAATGCAAGTCTTTCTTCACCCTGAGCTTCATGCTCATATGTATCCTGTTTATACTATGCATAATAATTTACTATTCCCAGTAAATAGATGGGCTTACCAGAAATGAGAGTTGTTGGTAACATAATTATTTCTAATTAACAGTAAGTCTACTTATTTCAACACTTTTAGGAAATGAAGATGCAGTTCTTATTGTAGATTTATGTCCCTTCGCCTTGCCCCCTTTCTTCCTATTTTCAGGTCTCAGTTGAAAACCTTTCTTTTCGTCCGCACCTTTGGTCACCTTCCTTCCCCTCCCCCTGGCTCGGCCCCGGGATCCGTTACTGTGAAGCGCTCTGAGACGCTGTCCGGCATGGAGGGCGCTATATAAATCCAAGTTGTTGTTGTTATCAAAAATTGATCTCAGTTAGAGACTGGAAAAAAGCTACTGCCAGTACCAGAGGGAGNAAAAAGTATGTTATAACAAATGTGTATCAATAAATGCTGGAATAATAAAGCTGTACTACACAGAGCTACCCTAATGGTGCAGAATTACGACATTAGGATTGGGAAAACAGCCAAATCAAAATCGACTCGGGAGTGTCTTCCTCTTTGATTTTAATTGGATGAGTTCTCTCTCACAACTCTACATGAAAGCAGATATTTATATGTTGCCCTTGAACTGGATTGGCTCTGTAGACTGTCTAAGATGAGTATAATCATCAACCATACCACTGAATTCTGTTTGCGTTATCATTAAAGTCACAGATTTCACAAAGGCTATCCACATATAGGATTCTGAATGGGCAACAACACAAATCAAAAGTCATCCTCAGTGTAAAAACACAAACTATCAAGTGAAACAAACCAATTCACGGCAAACACAACAGAAAGTTTTCATTATTGATTGCACAGCTTCCATTTTCAATCTTTGAACAGCACAACAGGAGGCTGTTATATAATTCTTCTCATTGGACAAGTGAAGATAATTCTACCGATGGCTTTGCTACATACTGCTGCTTCAATTAAGAAAGTGTCAAAGGCCATCCTGTTGAAATTGCTTCATTTACTCGATTCACAGAGCNTTTTTTTTTTAAACTCATCATTATTTGGCAATAAGTGAATACTGCAGATTGCAGGAAGCTAGAATGTTTAGGCCCACATACTGTAATAAATCCTAATATCAAAATGTTTTTGACAAACAAAGGTTCAAGAGACTGAGGACACGTTACAATTTATACACTCATGAACTTGCTTTAAACTGTTCCACTTTGTAACAGAACACTAAAAATGTACAGTTCTTAAATAAGTTGTTGTAGTATTTTGCTAGTGTTTTTATTCTACCATCTAGTTTAAATGATTGGTACTGAATACTGCATTAGTCTACAAATATGTGAACCCTTGTAACAAACACTACACAAATAGAAACGACTGAAGAGGTAAACGGAAACTGTACTTTCAGAATTGTTTACTACAAAATTAATGGATGTGGTGTTTCCATATTAGTCCATTTGCTTGATCATGCTGTGTACCAGTCAAGATTCTCACCGGCCTATGGACATTTTGTTGAACATCGGCTACCCACATGTTTGAAATATGCTCAGTGTAAGGGAGACTCCTTAATCTCAGAGGCTCTCTGCAGATGGGTGCTACATTCTGAGCCAAGAAATATGGGGGAGGGGTTGAACACTTGAAAAATAAAGGTTGTGGTTTTGCTAATGGACTTGCACCAGTATTGAGGGTACAAGCATTTTGAATTCATTGGTGGGTAGCAGAGAACGGGTGGGGGGGGCGAACTGATCAAGAGGAAATCTTGCAGTTCATTAGTAAAGGTAAATTTATTATACCTACTTTTGTACTTTTTGTTCATCTAATTCTCATTCTCTATTTTAGGTGGGCTTCCTGTAAATCATATAATTGAAAGAGTGACAAAAAAACTTCTATTTTTATAGTGGCTCTTTTAATTAGTTCTCTTTATTGTGAGAACTGAAAAGGATTCCTACTGAGCCATCCCTGTCTATTGCTAAGTATGGGCATTCATCGTGTATTGTGACTGATGGTTTCAAATAGCATGCGAGTACGTAAAGAATTGGGCAAAGAAAATTCTAATGTAGGTAATTTCAAATAGCTTGTGGACGATTTTTTTCTCAACAAAAGAAGATCACACATAAAATAATGAGCAAAAGGTTTAACTTCTGTGCAAATCTTTAGTACCGTACAGTAATGATGGGAACAGCAGTTAATAAAACACCTATATTGGCGAGAGAAACTAGATTGTAAGAATAAAGGTAATATAAAATCACCAGAAAATGAAGATTTACTTTAGATAGAAAAATATCAGAAAAAAGTTGCACTATGCAGCTAGTTATTTTATATTTACTCCATTCCAATAATTTTTTTCAATGTTTGTCATTACATTATTTTTCCTCTAATTTAAATTTTTCTGCGGTTTTAAAAAAAAATCACAGTAAATGCTGCCAATCAATTATTTAATTTAACTTGAATATTAGTTAGGCGTTGTCACTCTCAACAAAAATAAAAACTTTCAGCAATATTAACACTTGTAGAACTTGCGTTAAGGGATTCAACGTCTTAACATAAATTGCAAATAGTATGATGGTAAAATAACTTCCAGAATTTGACTCTTTCCTCTGACTTTGCTAATAAATTGACAACAAAGGTTATAAATTAGGCACATTAGGAGTCTACAACATTTTGCATCCTTATTGGTCATTCCCTAACCAGGATTTCTCATGTTCCTTTACAGTATAGTTTGATCAGTCACCACACAAAGTGTCAATGAGCTGTCCTTTGACTCTTGAATTAAGATTTAAAGAACAGCATACATCACACTTCAATACTGAACTTTCAGTTTGCACAAGAGATTGAACGATTTAAGTGAAATTAATTTGCTCCCTTCAAATCTGGAGGGTTGTTGGAAGTCAATAAAAGCAATTTAACTTTTTGTTTCTAAAAGTCCAATGATAGAATGTTCAGAATTTAAAACCCAATGAGGACATTTATCAAAACATACTTTCAGACAACCGCTTAAGAGGCACTGTGATGTAGAGAATTATCTGTTGACAAGCCAGTTTAGCCACATTCATAATTAAATACACTATATCTCACATTTTGAACCTTACCTTTTATCCCAAGAGTTCATGCCAAGAATATTCAGCAGCATTCTGCAATAGTAAAATACAGACTGAGGTTCCTGTGGACCAAGTTCCTCCTGTTCCATTGCTTTCATATTCAGGTCATTGCTAAGCTTCTCCACAAACTCCTTCTCTTCAGTGTATTGTTTCAGAATTGCATTCATAACATCATTTTCCTGCTTCTCTGAAATGCAGACAGGAGGTGGAGCTGGGACATTCAGCTGCACACCAGCTCTCTGGAGACACTCTGGGCTGGTGGAACCCAGGTATTGGAGCATCTCATCCAGGGCATCCTCATCATCACGAATCACGTCCCAAGATGGCACTACTTCTCTACATCTTCTTTTAGCTTGAGGTATCAAATACTCCCTTAAAGCAGCATCGTCAATTTCAGTTTCATTAAAGATAGGTTCGGCCAACTGTTCCTGTTTATTGACATTGGTGAACTTGTGAGCAACATGTCTTGGTTGACAGTACTGAGGTGGTCCATATAGGATTGCAGAATCCCAGGAGTATTTACCTGATATATCCCGTACTATAACTCTAACATTTGAGGTAGCTGTTGTGAGTCCAGCCGACATCCCTCCTCCTGGGATATTGTCCTCAACAGGGATTTCCAGGTATGAGATAAGGGTAGTACCGTTCAGTACAAAAAATTGGAGATTTGGATTCTCAAAGAGCTCAGGAGAAAGCTCAATGCAGTCTGTGAAAGGATTGTCATGGTTTTCACTTATCAGGCTGGTGAGCATTGCTGGGCCTCCACCCAATGGGTAGTGGCCAACATGATTCACCAAATGAATTACCACAGTCCGGGCAGCAACTGAGATCAAACCCTGCTGTATACGGCTCCTCACTGTAAAAGAAACATTCATTATTTAATGGCAGAAAATGTAACTCGTCATATAAAGTTACAAACACCAACAGTTGCAATAATAAATAATTTAATATCATCTGGTCTGTCACAAAATTTTATTGAACAATATTTTAGTTTGGTACAATATAATCATAGAAGAGTATACCTCGAGGTAGTTTTGAACATTAATTGTGCTATTGTTGTATGCTGTATGCAAATTGGTTGTAGAGTTTGCCTACAAAGAGTTATTATACTTGACAGCAGTTATCTATGAAATGCTTTGAGATGATTCAACATTATAAGCACAATATCAAACTCAAGGATTACTATTAACCAAACAGCGGGCAATCTTTTTATGAGATTTAATATAGTACAGCCCAGTTATAACTTTGGAGGTCCATAAAATGCAGCCAAATAATGGGGTGTTATCATTCATCAGTATGTCTGCATTATGTTGTCCCCGATCACACGACCAGTGGCATTGCACAAGCATAGAAAGCCAGCCAGCTTCCCATGCTAAAAAAAGACAACTTCTGGTTCATCAGGTCTACTGGCCTACATCACTTCCTGTGAACTGCTCTACTGTATTTGATAAAAATATGAACATTCCTGCCTGGGATTCCACCCCAGATGCAGTCCAACATGACTATACTATTTCAAGATTATCCGCAGACAGAATTTAGTTTACGAACGAGTCAAGCAGAAGTTGGCGAATATCAAGGTAGTGTGTCTCACACAACATCAGAATTTTTTTGTGAATGAACAAGAGTGCAAAATGTTTTCAGTTGCCATTATAGGCCAAATCGATTGAAGGTTTTCCATGAAGCAATTCTTACTTTCACTGGAGCAAGGAAGGCAGTTTTGGCTGATGATTGCAACCAAAAACCACCTTCTGGGCACAGCCATTGTTAACCATGTTGGAAATGGGAGAGTCTGCCTTTGCAGGAACCAGTGGATAATTAGCCAGAAATAAGTTATTGAAGGATTTCATGTTTTGGAAAGTAATCTCTTACATTTGTTGAATTCCTTACAGATTGTTTAAATATAAGAATGACAAAACAATCTTGAAATCCTCTTTTGATCGTATGTAAAGCTAAGCCTGAAGCTAATCATCTTTATTTTTACTAATAGGACACTGCCATTTGACAAATGGCCAACCTCTTGCTGTAGCACTGTTGCATTTAGTAATAATCTCTTATCCTACTGACAACGACCAATCATGCTTGTTGAATCGAATGCTGAGCTTATTAGAGACAGCTATGCTTAGAGTGGTTTGGCAACTCACCAATGGCTCAAAACTGCTCGATGAGAACGAAACATGCCTTAGACAAAGCTGTGATGATTAGTAATTTTCTTCCCGTGAAAAGCAGCACGTAGATATTATAGGCAAGAAAAATCACCTGCTGTTAGCACATAGCCACTGCAAAAGGTTCAGCATTTATCTAATCTGTAATACTATTACAGTCCCCTGAAGGAAACTCAACATTAATAGTGAATAGCACTAAATAAAGGCTGCTGTACAGATATTGAGCTCATCAGTTTCAATGTTTTGTGTTTGCTTCCTGACAATGGGTTCTTTTCTCAGCAGTTCCCAAAATTAGTTCATGTGCCACAAAAATATGTATATTTAAAGCACACCAATCAATAAATCCAAGTCAATTCTACATACTTTTAAAAAAACCATGTCTAAAAAGTTAATTGTAGTTAATAAAAAGAATCAAATGTTTGATTAAGCACTGAAAGAGGCAATATTATTTATATTTTACATGGGTCTTTCATCACAATTTTTAAACATTAATTTAAGACTACATTGCACTTCTGAATACTCATTTTAAATGTAAGGATTTTTGTAACATAGAAGACATAATATCCAATTTGACTTTGAGCGGTCACATGAAGTTGTGTACCTAGGCTTTTAAAAGACGAAAACCTTTGTTATAAATTGGTATGTACGATTGAGTGTCAAAAGTACGACATGGTTGTAGGTTATGATCTGTCTAAAGGGATGGAAGCAGAGGACAATTATAAAGGGTGAAAAGCGTGTGTGTGTGGGGGGAGGGGGGAGGAGAAGAGGGATAGACAAAAGATATTGTCTCAGGGGCCATGTTGGAACATCTCCTGTTTGTGTAGATTTTTCAGGATCAGTGTAAGGGGGTTACATTTCTAGACACTATGTTAGAGGAACCTCAGACTTAAGAGCCACAGTCAAAATTTTACAACAGAAGCTCAACATGGTATCCACCTGGGCTGATCACGGGCAGTTCAATAGATAAATCCAAGGCATTGTATATTGGAAACAAAACTAGGAGGTACACATTCTCCATGGATTTTTGTTGAAACAGGATTAGCAGATCAAAAATTAAGTTGCATAGACATTTACACATTATTTATGAAATTGAGAATTTACAATTATGAAAGTTATTTTTCTTTCAAAGAGCCATTACAGACACAACAAACCGAATGGCCTTCTTCTGGGCTGCAAAGTTGTCTGATATAAATGTAAACCAGTAACAAAAGACTTTTTTTTTAAAAAAAAAGATGCCTCTCCTTTGCTTTTAACTTTAGTTCAAAACCAATGTGCACGAATACATGCAAAGAACAACTTTCATTTATGTAACACCCTTCATGCAGGGTAGCGTCCCAGAGAGCTTCGCAGTAGCAGAGTCTGACACCGAGCTGGGGGAGAGGGAGGGGGTAAGTGACCGTAATCACGATCAAAAAAGCAGGTTTTTAGATGGGATTTGAAGGTGGGGAAGGAGGGGGCGAGGCGGAGGGATTGAAGGAGAGAGTTCCAGAGGTATGGGGCATAGCCAAAGAAGAATCAGATCTCAGGAATGAACCGGCATGCAAGGAAATTATTTCAATTTTTAAAAAATGGTGTAGGATGCCCTCTACTGACAGGTAACAGATATTCCACTTGGTTGACTGAAGGATTTCCCTGAATTTACGCAGTGTTCATTCCAAAGGCATTTTGTGGGACACTGATGAGCATAAATTTACTGCTGCATTCACCTGCATGATACACAGTCACTACACTTTACAGTAAATCCTGCTAAACACTTTGCGGTATCCTCCCAATGTGAAAAGTACTACAACAAATGCAAGGATTTATTATTACTAATAAAAAAGTGTTCCTTCACCCCAGAAAGAAACATTTCATTATTTTATCTTGTAAAACTGAGAGACAGAAAGGAAAGGATTAAGACTTGAGATGGGAACAATGGTTTTGTAAAGCACTGAGATATTATAGTAGCGCTATATAAATGCAAGTTGTGTTGCATTATTATATAAAATTTTGATTTTTGCTTAAATGGTTGGCTCCTGAAAAACATGGTGAAATACTGTGTTGTATATACAACCCAGCAAGCAATATGGCTTTTTTTTAAGTAAAAAGGATATTTGTATACAACAAACTCTAAATTCCTTGTGTTAGGTACTCCACAGATCTATATTAATTTGTTTTCAGAACAAAGTTTCACATCAGTTGTGGTTCTGCATTGAGAAAATATTGTAATGCATGCGAAGATATGAAGAGAAAGTGCATCCCATACGAACAGTATATTAAAGGTTGAGCAACCTACCGTTGGAAAAGTTCATTATAAAGCTATTATAAGCTATTCTGGATCTTTGAAGGAAAAGAGAGAGAACTGGATGACAGATCTTGCTACATACCCTCTGTGACAGTTTGGAGTTTTGACGAGCGCTCGGAGTCGGGGGAGTGCAAAGGTTCTGGTTCTTTCAAGCTTTCCAAGTGCAAGAATGGATCATAGTCAACAGATGCTAGATCAGATAAGGTCAGGGGAAAGTATCTGGGATTAGTTAAGCACTGAGCTCCATAGACACAGCCATGCAGCACCTGTTGACAAACAAAGACAGTTTTACAATGAGGATAACTGCATTAAAGTTAACTTGCTTTATTAATATGAATTATAAAAACAGCACTATTTGCTGTAACGTAAGAGATATTTGTACACCTTGTAAATACAACTGAGAACTGATTTATCAGCTTTATCTTTATCCTGTCCTGCAGTGTGTACAGGTTGAAGTAGTGTACTTAAAGGCAGCACCATACACCAGTCCAAAAGGCAGAGTAGCAGGGATACTACTAGCTGTGAAATAGAAAAGCAAAAAAAGTAGTTGACAAAATATCAAGCCTGTGAGTATATTTATTTATAAAATTTCTTTCTCTCACCTATATATTTATTAAAATGATATTTTAGCCTCATGCTTACCCTCTTATCTTGCTCATGTGGTGATATTTCTGTCCCAGGCAGCAAATAAGTAATTGTTGCCATCAATATCTAAACAAAAGATATGAGTAAGGTTCATAAAAGATATCTATCCAAGCAAACACAGCAGTATCCATTACTCGCCTATGCAATTTTCTCCCAATATCTCACATCACTAAGCAATTTTTCAGGATTGAAGTAAAATGTAATTCATACAATTCAAATAAAATCATTCAGCTGTGCCCTGGAGCTTAGTGTACCATTACAAGTTAACACTTCTTAAATGAAACAAGAAGAAATAAATGCATCTTACCTCAATAAGCTTTTTGGGAGAATCTGGTGGATAATTCTGAAGCTTGTCCACATAATTGATCAATAGATGCAAAATATCGCAAGCTACTTGTGCAACTGCTTTATTTGGGAACTGCAAATACATTTAAAAACAAAATTCATATTGTTTTTTCCTATTTAAATATTCTGTAAATCTTCTTTGAAAGCTGGACTGCAACAACAAAAAAAACTCTTACCTTTAAGGTTACACAGATCACATTCAAAGCTTCTTTGATATGAGGATGCTGAGTATCATGTACGAGTTCTTCACAAAGCCAAATGCCAAGGCTGCAAAGTGCAACGCATCTGAAAGAGAGCACTAGTAATGAGTCAAGTAAACATTGGATTCTTAAACATGATGCACACCACAATACACATAATTCAAACAACTCTGGTGCCTGAAAAGGGAAACATTATTCCCCCAACTACCCAAGAGAGAACAAAAAAATAAAGTGGGTAAAGTAATTGCCAATATGACTGAAAAAACACTGAACCTACCGAGCTGGACCTGAAGGCTCTTCTCTTGCTGATTTTAGAATGCTCTTCACTACAAGTTCCTATGATAACAAACAGAGAGATTATATGGAGATTATTAATTGTGCATTATAATTATCAATATACAAATTTATTTCAATGCATTTACAATTGCAATAAGCCATCAGAAACCACTGTACTTCTTGCGCATTTCTGGCTGTTTTTTTAAATAAAAAAGAGGAAGTATTCTCATAGCTATGTTAGCATTGTTCAACAACAAGATTACATTTGTATAGCGCCTTTCACGTCGGCATGGGTGTCCCAAGGTGCTGGACAGTGTACAGCATTTCAGATCATATACATATGTTCATTTGAAAAAAAAAAACAATCTGAAAGTATATTCTGCAATAATATGAACAAAAAATGTTCAGCATACATACGTTCGACTTATATTATGGATTGTCTGGAAATTGTTACTCTTGCATCCTAGATTGGGATTTTTATTCTGCTTGTGCAAGACAGCCGGCAGTTTCTTATTTTGTTTTGGGATCACTGGGCACCTGAATTTTCTTTTTTTATTGAGTGCAGCTTTAGATCAATTATGGCCCATTTCTGCTGAAGAAGAAGCACTGATGTGCATTTGTTTGTACTGAGAGCCTGTAGGAGCTCCAATAAAATTGTTCACTTAAATATTTACTGCAGGTCTCTTTCTTCTAGGATATTATCCATCAATTTATGTTGATTGCTGCACTTTATAGGTGTTTGTGGGGAGCGAAAAAAAACACAAGTGTAAACTTCACTAACATTTGTATTGAATATTTTACCTTAACATCTTCACACTTTGTGGATGAAATCTCAGCAATAGAAGGCAGCAGCGTTGGGAAATCATTGTACAAATTTGGAAAACAGACTAAAGAACCAAGCAGAATCTGAGCCTCGACTCTTGGAGCCTGAAATGAACCAGATAATCTCAACATCTTACAGAATAAAGTTCAAATTCATTTTTTTCTTGCCAAGAGAAGCCAGTCTTTAGAAGTAATAATAATGAAAATAATAATCCTTGCATTTGGTTAAAAGCATCTTATGTCTCAAAGAGCTTCACAGGATATACAGTAAAGTAGATCGACTGTGTATTTTGTGGGCAAAATATCAATATTAAATTAACAAAATATAATATGTACAAGACAAAATGGTCCAAGCAGAAAAATTACTGATACTATCTATCAATCACGCTGCTATTCATTGTAACATCTTCATTTCAAAAGCCCCTCTTTTAGAAATGTCATATATTCACCATTACATACAGTAAAATATCTGTTGACCTACATTGAGTGAAGCGGAGGATGTCACTTTGCTAGCAGCAACTATAAAGTCCCAAATTAGCATGGTAGCACCAGGCAACCCAACAGAAAAGAACCTTGGAGAACAGTGCTTGATGATTGTATTTACTATATCCTATATTTAAAAAAAAATCAAAGAAAGTATTAAAATAATAGAAATCAAAATGTAGATTGGACACAATTTTGCCTGATATGCACATTATTAAACAGCAAAAATCAAATAGAGTACTATGTTATGGAGTTGAATATTTAAAGGATTTGTTTTGCTGGTAGGCAGCATTTTACAATAAATGAGCATTCTAAAATTGTCTCTATGAATTTCATTTGCAACAGAAAAGAACATTAAAGCTAACTTTTACACTGCATTGAAGGATAGAAGTTGAATTTTAATAATAATCCTTAAATTGGAATAGCACTTATCACATTTTTTTTCCTTTTCACTAAGTTTCAGTTCTACAGAAGCATTCAGTGACATGCAGTAGATACTGCACAAATCACTAAACAAGATATTTATTACTTTTACATGCAAACACAAGAAATTGGCTTGTTCTATCTCCCTGCTTCCACTTATTTTAAACTACATTTTTCTTTCTCAACTGCCAGGCACCCGTCAACCAGAGTTATTTCTATTGCTTCCACTAAAGACTTTTCCAATACCATTGTGCTAGGTTGACTTTCTAGTACACTTCCACTTTTCAAAATAACTCTTCAAAATAATTGAGACCGTTATCATAAAACTGTGGTCTGATTCTACTATAATCTTACATCTCCTGCACATTTTATTCATGTCAGGTTACTGAGGACACCACCACTTCAAACAGATTAACAACAATTAACGTTTTTGATGAGGGAAAAACACACCTGATCAGAATTTAAAAGTCCAGTGTGCATTATATTGTAGAAGTGAACCAAGAAATCAGAATTAGGTGAAACATCTTGACGTCTTTTCATGATTTTACAGATAAGCTTGTAAGCATGCAGCTTTCCTTGTTTATATTTTTCTGGTAATGTTGTTGCCTAAATGAAAATCAAAATTTAGCTTCAAAGCAATAGATAACAAATAACCACAAACATTTTTCCAATTTATAAACTGAAAACATTATTCGTTAAAACTGCGCGTGTGCTCTTTACTCTCCTTTCACATTTTCCTAGGATAAACAAGGTGGAAGGCCAAAACCCTGGCACAAATTAGAGTGTTAGCACTTCACAAATAATATTGTTAACTACTGTGTACAAATGCAAATGTAAACAAAAGGTCCTCTTAATTTTTTATCATAATCAAAACCCCCAAAAGAGTATAGAATTTTTCCAAGTTCTTCCATCAAGTATTCTTGTGATTTTCTGTCTAATATTGAGCAACTACATTCTTTATTAACATGAACGTGTGGCACTGTTATCCCTGAATTTTATTTGGGCGATGCATCTGCTGTAACTTTAAATATTCTACAGAGAATGAAGCAAGTGTTGCACAACTGCAAAAATCCAAAACTTGAAGAATTATACGATTCCTTTCTAAAATGGATTTTGTATCGTCAAAAGGTGAATCTGTGCTTTGAATCATTGTATACAAGTTGTGAAGTTCATATACATTTACAAATGTAATTTTGTTGTTGTGTACTTCAGGAGTAGGTTGCGAACATCTACAACCTTAGAAGAATGCGTTATTGCTAGAAATCTAAAAACACATTTTTAAAAAAGTCAAGATCATCATTGCCATCAAATCTGTAATTAAATCTGACAAATATGTTGCAAATAAGTATTAAAATCATTGACCCATAGTACTAAAAATAAATGAATGTTATTTTGAAAATTGCTACTTCTCATAGACAATGCACAGCAAACGCACAGCCTGAAACCTGTTGATTAAAGATGCACTCACATATGTAATGTGTTTGATAGAGAATTCCAAAATAGGAAAATGTATTACTCATCTTTAGAAACATCAAAACTTACCTTAAAAAGCCATGGAGTTAAAATCCTGAGGGGTGGTATTAGTACTGGAGGAGGTGGTGATGTCTGGTTATCCGTTGTGATTCCGAGATTATCTCTTACCTTTAAACAGAATAAAAACCACAAGAACAAAAATCTCCAAAGAACTAAAATTGCATCTAAAATGCTATGAAATTCCAGCATGAAAAGCAACAAAGTTATGAGGAAAGGATTTCTTCAGGGAAGAGAGGATTGAGGGAGCCATGATACAGATATTTCAAAACAATGAAAGGCATAAACATGTAAGTAAGCAGGTAATTTGATTTAGGCCTTGAAACCATGTCTGCGTAACTCATTTGTTTTTTGGTTGTGTGGGATTGTGTAGTTCAATTATGATTTGACTTTTTCAAAACTAAACATCAGTGCAATATTAACACTGGATACACACAAATGCCAAGAACCGTGTGAATGAAAAACCAAGCTGTCAGGAGTAGGGTCATCGATGAAGCAAATTGTCAAAAGCAAAACCAAAATTTCTTACCTTGGCCAAATTCTGCCAGAGCTCACACAAATAATCAAAGACTTGTGCATGAATTTCAGGATCTCTAATGCAATTGACATCTCCTAAAATACCAAGCATTCGTCTCCACATAACTGTAGCAACATCTTCTTGCCAGCCTTTGAGGGTCCCTCCTGCCATCACACTGCAATCCTCATTTGGAAACTCACTATTTTCTGTAGGAAATGATGCACGTTATGTATTTTGCATCTATACAAGATTAAAATACACTTTGAAAGGTGTGGAAACTGAACCTTGAGAAACTTATGTATTGTATATGGTCCACAAATTTTTTTTAAATTTCAGTAGAATACCTGCATTTAGAAGGTAAACTTCCAATACAAAACTTATTTTGCAATCATCAGCACTCAAAAAATTGCATCACTCACAAAGTACTGGTACAGCTAAAAGACTTAAGTGTTTTAAAATATATTTCCAATCAAACATCAATATTTGGAAAAGTTTAGTTAAGATACCAGCATCCAAAGTAGTTTACTGTATATTAAAGGCAACACAATACCTAAATCATCAGGGGTTTGCAAGACTGAATGGTGAAGCTTTTCATCTAATTGCAAATCCTTATGCTCTGTGTGATCAGCATTCAACGTGGATGGAGAAGGAGTCTGAGATCTTGAACAGGCATTGGAATGGGCAGGAGAAGCACTTTCAGAACCTTAAAAACAGAAAAAGAGTCAAACATAGCAAGGTGATTCTACAATTCGAGGAACATTCATTTTGAAAGGGAACGTACATGCCATTCTCCAGACAGCTACATTCCCACTGCCCAGCATACCTCCATCTTCAGACATATTGCCCCATCTAGTGGTTTCTCTCAAAACTGCTTGTAGTCCATTAATAGGAATAAGATTAATGGCAAGTGAGATTAGGTTTTGAGCATGAGATCATCCTTATAAGAAAGCTACAGATATACCCGACTGTTACAGGATAATATTTAGCAAACCAGCAATTTAAACAATTCATCGCAACAAAACTTCTTCTGGCAAGAGTAGCTGCTGCAATTGCTAGAACAGAAAAATTGAGAGCAGAGAGCAGTACAGTAAGCTTAGCAAATCATGTTCAAGAACATATCTAGAGCACATAAGATTGTACTGGCAAGTACAGTAGACGTACACACCTGTGATTGTAACAGTGTCACCAGAGATGGCCTGCAGGTTGAGGCTGCTAGTTTCTGAATCAATGTGCATAGCAGTTAAGGTGGCCAATTCCTGTTCCTCAGCAGTCAGTCGAGGTGGTCCTGAATCTGCTTCAGTGCATCCTGCAGGCAAGGTTTCACTGCCAAAGGAGAAGCCTACACCAGAAACAAACCAAAACTCATTCAATACACTTTACTCTCCCAGTATTCAAAATTGACCCAGGGAAGTCTGCAGGTTATGTACCAAGGAAAAAAGTGAAGGTTGTGGCAACTACTAAAAAAGCAGCCCAAAGCTGTCCATTTTAGTCAAAGATGCAACAGTAAGTGAAGCTTAAAACTGTATTTGTTTAAAATAAGCAAACATGTTTGACAAAGTTTTTATTATAATTTCTCCTCTTCCCCATTCCCCAATTCTTTAATTTTGTTTAGTCTAATTTCACTGAATATTGTGGGGAGGGGGGAAGGGTGAATCTGCATAAAACATGAGAAAATGGATCAGAAATATTATTAACTATAAAATAATGTTTTCAGAGCTTATAGCATACAAAAAAAATTTAAAATAGCTAGACTTGTGGTAAAAATGCTTCAATATTCCTGATGGAATGTTTTAAATAATAGCTAGAAAAAGTCTAATAAAACATTATATTTATATAGATTATTAATACAACTAGTTTTTACAACCTTAAAGTAAGACATGTTTCTTTGGCAAAAGTGTCAACATCGAGCATTAAGAGGTCAGTTGAGCTCTGGACTTGTTGCAGATCTTCTGCTACTCTGCCCCAATAATTTACTTTAAAGCAACCTCTGAAAAGTATTCCCTGGTGCATCAGTGTTAATGCTTCCATTTCTCATAATAGTAATTCCTGCGGTCTCAGAGGAAATTGGTGGTTGAGTTCAACACCTGAAATATAACCACTCCATTAGTTCCGCTTAAAAATGTTCTTCATTACGTGGCTTGCTAAAGAAATCTAAGTGGACAAGAAAAATAGTTGGCAGAGGGAGTTCTACGTAGATATAAAACCAGATCGCTGAAAGGACAGTGAGCTAACTCATCTGCCTCCCCTCATTACCGATTTTCAACATCTGAAAAACTAAATTAATTCCAAGTGTTGCAGTTATACATTTTTATAAAGCATATATATTATCCCTAACAAATGGCCATGCATCCTTATGAATCCAGCAGTCAGCAATCAGATAAATCGATGAAAGCAGATCAAAACTTGTGAACAAAGGTTTTTTTTAACATATAAAAGAACGACTGGAATGAGAACACACTTACTTTCAAATTTACGCCCATCACACTGAAAAGCATTGAAAGAGTCTGAATGGCTGTCGGAACTAATCAGATCACTGCTTCCTGCACTGGCTGGAGATGTCCATTCGGATGGGACACCTGGGTCATCTACAGGTCGCATCGGATTCTGCCTAGTTAATAAGTCAGGAAGATCTTTTGGCACTTCCAAGCTGCCGGGGCTGCTGCCCCTCCTCAACACATTCTAGAATCGACACAAGTTAAAAACTAAATTAAACTGTCTCATAAAACACATCACCTGAAAATTCTTGTGCAGATATCTTGTGAAAGTGAATCTAATTAAATTAGTTACATGCAAACTACATTCTACCTTCAGATAATCTTGTGTGAGTATACTGCCTCATTTGCGCATCTAGAAGAAAATATTTCTACATGCTAGAATAAGTTTGTCCCAAGCATTACATGGATTAAAATTGGAACCTTCCTCTATTGAGATCCTGATCGAAGCCTGGTTTGAGTAACCTGTTGTTGAGTGAAGTGCGTAAGGCTCCAGGTGAGGGGAAAGTAGGATACAATTTTGTAAAAAACAAACAGGGGAAACTGTTGTGTCTGGGCAGTCTCTGGCTCCCTTCCAGTGACTGGTTACATGTGCACAAACACATGCCCTCTTCAATTCAGGCAAATAGTGAGGGGTTGAAAAACCAAAGAGCCCTGCAAGCACACCCATAAAATAAAATATTGAAAGAATACACTGTTTGAGAGAAGCTTATCATAAGTTTTTTTTTAAACGTGAATGTAAATAACCATCTGAATATTTTAACGAATGTAACAAATATGCCCTGAAGCTGAAGTAGTGCTTGCTTGTGTGGGCTCAAACAAATCAACTCAGATTACATAATGCTATTTATACACCCAACAATTCTGTAAAGTGCTAAATTCAACAAAGTAGTTGTTCAGTGTTTTTGGTGGAATCAAGTTGGAGTGGAAGCAGGAAGCCAGCACCTCCTATGTTTTGGCGCAAAAATTTCAGGTGAAAAAGCATATTGTACATGGAACAATGCAATCTAATAATAATAATAATTGCATTTGATATAGCGCCTTATCATGTCTTCGAGACTTCTCAAAACGCTTCAAAGAATATACTGTAAAGTGAATTGACTGTATATTTTGTAGGTGAAAAGCGCAGCCAATTGCACACAGCAGCGTCCCACAAACAGTCATGGACTGAGTGACCAAATTATTTTTAAAATTTATTTTGAAAGAATTATTACCCGCAGTAATCTAACCATAATGACCTTTAAAATCATGAATGAACACACTTCTTTAAAATAAGCAAACCAACTTACAACTGAAGTACCAGTTCGCAGCCTTTCTGCTATAAACTCATCCATGAGATCACTGATGTTGGGATTGCTATTTCCAATATCACCACTGAATGGTCGAGGTTTTTGACTAGGGTCCTCCTTATTGACTGAAAGCAGATAAAAGCATTTAAAAAACACAATAATGTAAGTTCCTAACTAAGAATGAGTTGAAACTATTTGCTAATTAAAAAAGCAATAAAGAATTTAGGATCGCAGGGGTTACTTGCCAAAACATGCAGTTCCCCCAAGGTACATTTTCCTATCCTTACTTTGTGCAATTAGAAGTAGAAGTAATCACGAGTTAGTATTCATCTATTTTACATCAATCAGATATTAGTAGCGGTTAACAATTTTTAATCTTTGATGGCAGACATTTGTGTTACAGTAACATAATATAGTTTCAACATACTTTCCTTTGTAGGATATAATAAAAGGGAACTTAAGTCTCACTAATGTTCTATTTTCTAAAAACATGCTAAGAATCTACTAAATGAAAATATTTTTGCTTTATAGGTTTATTTCCCTTGCCTAGAAATCAAAACAGGATGTACAACTCGACAAAAGTAAGCAATTTCTCAGTCTAAGCTTCTCTACCTATTCCACATGTTCTATACTTGGAAAGTCCTCCCCAGTGCTGAACACAACTCAAAAAATACAAAATGCATGAACTCAGATTCAATGCATCATGCCATCATAACCAACCACAAAGTAATAATTTTACTGTCAAAGATTAACAACTGAAAACCTGCATGTAAAAGGGGAGAAATTAGTATTTTTGTGGGAAAAAAATGTTTGCTTGGGAGGGAGGGAAACACATCAGCTGTTCAAAGCGCATGCATAACCATAGAGGAAAAGCAGTGATCATCCCCAAGCTATTTGATTGCTTAAAGCTTTTCAGTTGCATCAAGCCAAACAGGTGCTCCTTTGTGCACTGCACACTGTTAGTGCTCACCTGCAACTTTCCTTCCAAAATATCCCAAAACATGACTGTACAGATCCCTCAGTGGAGCCTCTGCTGGTACTCTGCTTTGTCTCTGTGGGGAAACATTTGGCTTCGACTTTGAAAAAGCGTGTACAACAGTCTTGTAAACACCACCTAGGGAGTTCTGTTGCTGCACTGACTCCTGTGAGCTACAGGACCTTAGTGTCTCATGACAAGTCACCTGACTACCATCTGCATTTCCCTTCAGTATCGGGGCACTTGCAGCAGTAGTTAGGGTTGACCTCCGGTCTTTACTTTCATTGTGAGAAACTCTGGTATCCAGAGGCCTATAGACACCAGGTTTCACAGAGTCTGTTGGTGGAGATGAATTACTGTTGAAACCACTAAGTCTTCGAAGTCTCAACTTCCAATGAGCTTCCTTGCTGTCCAAAGGGCTGTGAAACTGTACAGATTCAGTAGATGGCCTAAAACTAACATGCATACCGCTATTCTTTTTCCTATTCGTTATGCTAAAAGTCTGACTCTCTTGCGTTGCTCGCTCAGTGATTTTGCGGTTAGCTGAAAGTTTCAGTGCACTTGAAGCTTTAAGTGGGTCAGTATTTGTGGCACTGATAGAAAACGTATTTGAGTGCATGCCATGAGTGTCAGTTATCTTATTGCTGGGTTCTGTAAGCAAAGTAGTTTGTCTTAAAGAGGCATTAGCTGTTGGTTTCTTTTGACTTTTAACTATTACTTTGTTGAAAGTCTGCATTGCCCTGTGCTGACCTGTTGACGCTACCACTTTTCACGGTCTACCTCGATTGGCACATGGCGAGCAAGACGTTTTCCCCTCCATTTGTTACCTGGACCCTCTGATGAACTTTTTCGGTCAGAACTTTCAAGCTGTTTGCACTTATCCTGTAGTGCATCAGTCTCTGGTAAATGTTTCTCTCCATCAGAAATTGCACCAACGCTCAGATCCTCTTGTAGACACGGAAGAGAGTTTGATGCATTTAGGACACCACTCAACGTTTCCTGTACATTTACTTGTGTCTTAGTTCCTGCCTCCAAATTAATTTCCTGATTGCTAGTATCATATGTACTAACCCGACCCACCTCACTTATTAACTCACCAACACTTTCATTGAAAGGAAGATTTACGTCCTTTCCTTGATCAGTTTCATTAAAATACTTCCGTATAGAGGACAACAGGTCTGCCTCATCGCCATCAACTATGCCATCAGAGTATTCATAATAGGATACTAACTGATCTACATTACCTACAAGATGACACAGATGATCATAAATACTATCTCCAACTTCCAGAGAAGATTCTGTTCTATGTGTATCTGTAAAGTGGCTTTCAGTGGACCTAGGTAATGAGAACACCTCAGTAGATCTTTGCAAACTTGGTGAACCGTCAATGACAGGAACTGCACCTTTAGCTCTTTCAGCTATGATCGGTTCCATTATATCTGATGTGCTGCTGCTTCGTGGCATTGGTTGCTCTTCACGTACAGAGTTAAATATTTCAGATGCATTTTCTTCACTCTGCGAATAATGTCTTATTCGAGTAGGCCGAGGCAACATTTGGGCATCATCTAGATCTTGAAAATAAACCACAATTAATGGTTGTATTATGGAGACACGGTTTCCAACAGAATAAACATTACCATTATTTGCCTCTGAACAAGCCAGTTCAACCTTATTTATCAAACCCCAAAATTATTATGGGTTTACAGGCATTATTTTCAACTTGATGTCTCCACAGTGGTTTGCATAATTGGGAGAGCACTACATTACTATTCAAGTAAAGACTTGCATCAATTGCTTTTGATAAATAGCCCAAGGCCACTTCTTTAGTCAAGTGGCTAATATCAGAATAAATAATGGGATCAAATTAAATTCCCATTTATACAAGGACCATGGGTGTTTCTCTGTATTCTATTTTTGATCCCCAAAATGTATGATTCTTTCACCTAATTAAAGACAATTACACTATTCCTATGTAATAATTATCCAAGCAGCTATTTCAGCATTTGGTACAAAGCAGGTGGATACAACAAGTTAAAACAAGGGGCCTTGTTTGCCTGTTCTGTTGATTCAGGATGGTTAAAGATCCCAAGACTCTATTTTGAAGAGCAGGACATTTTTCAGTATCCTGGTCAACATTCCTCCCTCATCCAAATTCCCCAAAGAAAGNAAAAAAGGATTACATTTAATAATTCATTTTGCTGTATATTGCTGGTAATTGCTGAGTTTGCCTGCAAGTTATTAAATTACAGAGAAACCTACAGAATACAGATTTCACCTTTATCCTTTATCATTAATTTTAGAAATTGGTTAGCAAATTTGCGCAAACATAAACAAGACATAAGCATTTTCAGAACACTTAAGTTTTAAATTTATTGCCCAAAGTTATAAATTAGAATAGATAAGAAAGCAGCAAGAAAAATGCTAAATAAGCACAGCAAGTAAGCAGAGCTGGCACTACCTGGCAGATCATCAGAAAATAGAGCGAGGACTAGATCAGGCAGGAAAGAATTGGAAGCATGGAGTAGAACAGGTGCACTTTTAACATTGCACAGAAAGGCCGATGGGCGAATACTTTCAACAATGGATCGGCGTCTGATGGCTTCAAAAAAAATAAAACAAAGCAAAAAGGATTGGGAGGGAAATGAAGTAAAGTAAGAGCTACATTTATGAAAAAGTGAGGTTACAAAAATATAGGAAAAACTTAGGCACCAAGTAAATGACAGATATTAAAATTAGAGAAAATAAATTTGCTCAGGGTGGCATTAAACACTGGATTCTGGTATTCTGGCATCCATCAAAAGAATCTACTGTACTTGGTTACACTTTATTACCACACCTATATAGTCAGGATCATGAATGCTACCAAACAAAATATCAATGATTCCTAGATTGTAGCTAATATAATTACTTTGATATGAATATACTCTAGTTAACATTGTTTGAATGGTGTACTTTCATTAAAAAGGTTTCAGTTCTTTTAACTGGAGAAGACAGCTAAGAGACCAAAAGTAAAACAGAGAGTGCAATATCTGCAGTAACAGATAAAAACTTGAAACCACACCAGGTTAGAAAGAGAAACAATGGGTGCTCTGAGAAGGCGATATATAATAGGGAGACTGAATTTTTGAGAATACACGAGTTTCACAAACCAGGGATCGCTGGCATCACGCCGCATCCAGTAATATTCCCAATTCTCTCATTGCCAGAGGGACAATCAGGGAATGTGATCTTTTCAAGTGGTACATCACAAGAGTCAGGGAGTTCTACATCAAACATATATACACATATGTGAATAACACAATATATGGCAATATAAAATATAAAAACACACAATCACACAGCAGTTCAAAAGTTTTATAACTGCTAATTAAAGTGAAAATTGTCCCACAGTAAAAAATGTCTACTATAGACACTACTATAATTCTATAAAGTAAATCAAATGTGTTTAGAAAATATCTTAAATACACGCTCTGCACCCACGTCATGTGGTCCGCTGTGGAGAGAAATCTACCCGCTGCCTACCAGCAAAAACCTACACCTTAAAAGATGATTTTCCATAAGTGCTTAAAACTATATGAAACAATGTGTGAGGTAGTTAAGGGTTAATCAAAATAGGGTGAATATTTAGATTCATAGAGAGGGGTCACAGGTGTTCAGAGCCAGATAGCCTGTTGAATTTGTTAAGACTGAGATGTCAACCTGTTTATCTCTCTTAAAATGTAAAAATGTTAAGTACTTTCGGTTTATGGCTTTTTTGTTAGATTTTGTGAGTTAATAGGTTTTATGGTCCTGTCTTTTAGTCTGAACATAGTTGAGTTAAGGAGTTTATGTTTCAGAACTGTCAAAGGTTCACTGATTGAAGGAGATAATTCTTAGTCAATTAGGAGTTGTTTGTCAAAGTACTGAGAACTGATTGGGTAAAAAGTCACATGGGTACATTTGAGGTATAAAAGAGAGGGAGTGGAGTTATGACAGCTGTTGAGTTTTTGGAGTTTTAACTAACATTTGACTTTAATATCACTAATTATAAAAATTCTGAATCTCAGGATCTCAGTGTAACATTACCCCAAGTTTACACCTCTTCTATTTGTTTACTCCTGGTGGTCCAAGTGTTGAGGCTCAGTGATTACATATCTTATAAAGTATAAGATATTATCCCTTGTTAAAGTTATATTAATATAGTATTATCTAAGTATTATATAAAAATTGTTGGTTATTTTTGCGTTTAATGCAAGTGTTGGGTGTATTTTGTGAGACCGCTCTGACCAGGCATGTACCCTAATAGTAATTTGAGAAGAGGATCATTTCTTTCAGAGTCCACCTGGAAGGAGCGTGTAATTCTCACCCAGAGATAAGATACCGTGACAAATGAAAGTTCTGTCCTCTGCCAGATGAATTTCAAAAATTAAATACACATGTAGTAACGCAAAAAGTAAATGTAAGCATATTTACAGTATGCATAACTTGTCACTCCAAGGGAAAGGGATCCAGTGACAATTTATCCAAAGTGACCTACAATTACACCAGAGGCCTCTGTGATGGAGGTTGGCATGCATGACCAGATGCATCGAATGCCTGCACCAGTCACAGGATAAGGCGGGAGGCCTCTGCGATGCAAGATGCCATCTTAAAGGATGAGTTATCCGATCAATTTTACATTGTAAGTGCTTGCAAGAATTTCTCGAATGTGACTAGTTAAGTGGAGTGATGAATATGAGAAACAGTCGGAATATTGATGTCATGGCTATTTAAGTGAATTGGTGATTTAAGCCAAGGTTGAGCTATTTGAAGTACTGTATTTCATTGGAGGATTAGCCTTCCTTTCTCTTTATGAAAGAAATCTGGATGAATTCCTGTGATTAAGTATTTCTGTTCTACCTACCTACAGTTTTCTGCCGTACAATGGTTCTTGCCTTTTCTGTTCCTGGAGAACCTGCAGTAGTTGCGCTTCGCTGCCTCATTGGCGCTTGTCCTGGTTGATCACGACTCCACCCACGTGAAAACGATTTATCAACGGTTAATTTCTGACACCCATGTATACCACCTAAATTTCAAACAAATGCAATCTATGCATCAAGCTTTTAAGACGGTCAATGACAAACATTTATTTTCCAAAAGGGTTAAGGTTTCAAAATAGCTAAGCGATCACATGATAGAACAGTTTTAAAGTTACGGTCAGTCTTCTTCATTCCCTACCTTAGCTAATTAAATCAAAAAGGATCTCAAACTATCACTCATATATTCAAATCACATTTGTTACATTTAATCTCTTTAAATAGCACAATTACTGTGGATTTTTTCCCCCCAGAGTTTACCCTCCAGAAGTTGTTTTCTATTACTTGCAATTGATTTATCTCCTTGAAGGGTATTCACTATCCCTTGGACTCCAAATGGTAGTTAAATGAGAAAGTGTTGAGCAGTAGTTTGCAAAAAAATAACCATCCAATGAACAAGATGAAGGCTGCACAAATTGCCACATGAAAAAAGTCACATAAATAATATAGTTGCATTACAAAATGATCAAATGCAAAACAAGAATTTATTAAAAATAATTATTCACTAATTAAATTCAACAGTACCTTTTCCTTTGTGCTTCTTCTGTTTTTGTTCACTCAGTTTATCTAGTGGAAGATCATGTAAATCAAGATTATATAGATTTCTGGCCAGCACTTTGGTCAAGGTCTCCATGGTCATTGCCCATTCATTAATGAGCTCCTCCCAACACGTCAGTGATGAAAGCACAGCCAGCAACTCATCCCATAGCTCCCGAGACACGTACACATCCAAGTTTGCTTTTATCCAGGCTACTATTAGAGTCTAAACAAAGCACATAACAGAGCAAGTATATTACACACAACTACAGAACTGCAAATTAACCCAAGGCGCTGGACAGAGTACAGCATTTCAGACCCAAGCTGGGGTTGGGGGGGGGTGGGAGAAACGAGGGTGTCCAATGGCATGGTCGAAGAAGAGGGTCTTGAGGTGACTTGAAGGAGGCTAAGGAGGGGGCGAGGCGGAGTGACTGGCGGATGGAATTCCAGAGGTTGGAGGCAGAGTGGCTGAAGGCTCTCTGGCCAATGGTGGGGCGGGTGGATCGGGTGATGTGGAGCAGGCCAGAGCCGGCTGAGCGGAGGGAACGAGCGGGTTGGCAGGGGGTTAGGAGGTCGCAGGGATAGGGTGGGGTGAGGCCATGAACATAACATTAAACCCAAAATATCCAGACGACTCTAGGCTACAATATTTAGCACAATTATATTTTCAATTTCTGAGATGTGGGTCATTATAATTCATTTTGTTTGCCTCTGTTTATGAAATAAATGTCTTAAATATTTCTCTTGCACACATTTTATTATGTATACTTTTATGCAAGTATATTTTCTCTGTGTTACAGAAGTAACAGATAATGATTCACATTGAAAAGCTAAACTCTGCATTTCTTAATGACATTTCCCACTGATTTCCCACCATTTATCTCAGCCCAGACAAAGGTCAAACACCAAACTTTCTCCTGGCTTCCTACAACCTTTACCCGAAAGAGTGGCGTAGCAAGTCGTCCTGCTAACATAGCAAGTTTTCTTGCTTGAGACAACGGTGCTGCTTGTGGAGGTCTCTTCATAACAGATTCGGTGATTCGAAGCAAAACCAATAACAACTGCTCCCTTCAAGGAAAAAATAGCAAATCGGTTGGATTACTACATTTCACACTTCAGGCTTATTTAAATATTCTCAATTCTCTAAATATTAGGTGTACAATTTGGCACAAATTGTTGATTTTCTAAATGTCACTCTCTTCAGCTGCATCAGTTCTTTCAAGGGGCACTCAAGTTGGTTGTCTTAAGGGAGAAGAACTGTGCTGGCTCTAATTCAACAGCTGGATCGGACAATGGTGTCCAGAACCCAAGTACATCATAATATTGGCAATACCAATTAGATTAACATCGTAACTATTTACCGATACAAGTCTGACCCCTTTGGGATGATAGCTAAATATATTGCAAGGAAACAACAACAAAACTGAATCTAATTTCACTGAGGTCCCTTTCAACCGTGAATAAAAATTAGATTTTCATTCCATCAATCGATTTTATCAGTAGGAATCAGCCATACCATTTAAAAACATTTAAACTACACTGTTGCACATGTTGATAATGTACATTAAACTATGCACTATACCAGGTCTTCTTGTTCATTGTTGTGTGCACAACCATGTATCGATAGATGTTGAGAACACGCTTGCACATATCCACATGTTCATCTAAAAGATGCATAATCTCATTGGCAGGCTCTAACAGCAATATATTTGCCGAATTGGTTATAAAAACCTGTAAAGATGACAGGAAACATGAAATATAAAAATCACAGATGCATTACCCATCTGGCTTCTATTAAATATGCCAAAATATATCATGAGAATTAAAAGAATTTCAAAAGAGAAAACTTCAGGTGTAACTGATTGAAAAACTTTCAAAACATACCTGCAGTGATGCCTGAGTACCTGCGAAAACATTCCCCTCTTCTTCCTCCATTTCAGATGCTTTATTAATTGCATTCTGGTAAGAAGAATTTCTCGTCCAGCTGGGATTTCTCACGTGACCTAGTGACTTTGTCACTTTCTCCTAAAAATAAAAAAGTCTTAAAAGTCCACTTTTATATTTCTATGAAAAGAAATCTACAGCACATTTTGAAAAGCAACTTTGGTGATTTAATCAAATACAAAGGTATAGTTTTTCCTCTGGTCTCATTTCCAAAAATGAATTTAAAGTACTAAAGTTACGTGTTTTCTTTAGAAAAACAAAACCATATGCCCAATTTTAAACAGCCATTTCTCAATCGTCAATCAGTGCTAACTGCACAGATAACATTTTCTTTGGTTACCAAATAATAATAATCCTTGCATTTGATATAGCACTTTTTACGTCCTCTAGACGTCGCAAAGCGCTTCACAGAATATACTGTAAAGTGAATTGACTGTATATTTGTGAGCGAAACCGGCATTCAATTGCGCACCGCAGTGTCCCACAAATCGTCATGGATTGAAGTGACCAATTTTTATTGTTTTATTGTTTTTTTTTCTTGAGGGATTATTATCAGGCATGTGGAGTAAGGAAACTTGCCCAAGGTTTCGCCCTGCCGGGAATCAAACCCAGGACTCTCGCTTGCAAGGAGAGTGCTCTAACCTAGCTACAGGATTCTTTATATCAAATACCTGTAGTAAATCAACAATTATAATATGACGGACAAGAATTACAATAGTTAGTTTTATAGACTGTTAAAAAAGCTCATTATTGATTTATGCTAGCAATGAATTACTGCATGTTGATCTTTCACAATGGGCTAGAATGGGCTATGAGTTTCAGAGCTCTGCAACAACATTCTACTAGCATGAATTATTGTGACTCCTTCCAAAATATTAATTTGTATTTAATGCTGCTGTCTGTATTATAGTCTGTAATGAAAGATGGATGTACTGTATTGTTTCATCCTTTACTATTCCGAGTCCTGTACAATTACACTGGAAATATTCAGAGAAAAGGGCATTGCAGTCTATTGAACTGGTTAACTGGTGCAAAACATATCTGAAAACAAGACTGGAATATTTATTGAGAAGATATTTTTTCTCTTGGCCACTGGGATATTAAGTAAAACTCTATAATAATTAATCTTTCTTATAATTATTATTAACATCTTAAATGACAGTTTGCTCTTTTTAAGGCTCCCAAGGGAGTTTTTAGCCTTGTGGGTTGCAACATTATTTCTCCACTTACAGTAGTTCAAAAATATATTGATCCATCTTTTATTTTACAGTATAAGAATATTGAACAGAAACTCTACAAGTCCATTTAATTCTACTTATGGTCAACAGAGAATTTGTAGCTTCTATCGAGTAAGGGGAAAAAATAAAAATCACGGAACATGTAACGGAAATGCTTACATGGATTTCAGGAATAGAAACATTTATTTTAATAGATTTTGACAACAAATCCAAAGTTTTTTTTGTTTAACTAATTTTAATTCCCCAAAGTTTTGTCTTATTTTGAAAACAGATAAACAATGGATTGGCAGTTAAAAGGGAATTGAAATTTATTTTCTCCCTTCAATATAAATCAAGGATTAGTCATTAAACAAAGCAAAGCACAAGAGACATTTATCGTTGCTTTTTTGCGCTGCTGAATTTATACACATCAGCAATACCTGCTCTTGTTCTTTTTTATCAACCGAGTAAGAAATTCCATGTTCCCCTGAACTGTTTAACTGAATGACACTTGTTGATGGAGAATAGCCCATTTCTTCAGGTTCCTTCATAAATACAGGTTTGTCCTCTTGTTGAATCCACTCCTGGTAAACTTTAACAACTTTTCTCATGGCTGCAGCTTCACAGATGGGCAACAGAAAAGCCTGTGCAACAGAAAGGTACAGTTAATAATAATCCTTGCATTTGATATAGCACCTTACCACATCGTTGAAATGTCTCAAAGTGCTTCATAGGATATACTGTAAAGTGGATTGACTATTTTGTGGGCAAAACACAGCAGTTTTGTACACAGTAATGCCTCACAAACAGGTATGGAGTGATTAACCAATTTTATTTGGAGGACAGTGGAAGAAAACTCCATCTTCTTTTCTAATAGTACCATGGGATCTTTAATGTCCAACTTAACAGCGCGGCATTGGAGTGTCAGCTTAGGCTATGCAATTCCAAATCCCCACATGGGGATTGAACGCACTACCTTCTGACTCAGAGGTGAAAGTGATACCACTGAGCCAAGCTGACACATGGTTCCAATTGTCCCACCCAGACATATCAACGACAACAAAATTACATTTATTTAGTGCCTTTCATAACGGGAGGATGTCCCAAGGTGCTGGGACATCCTACCGATATGAAAGGCACTAAATAAATGTAATTTTGAAAAATCAGAATCCTAAACAGTGTATCCTTTCCTGATGACTTCCACTCAAGATCTCCTCAACTCCAGCTTTTGTGGGCATGTTCTGAAGATTACCCAAACTTGATTCACTTAAAATGCTAACAACTATTTAATCAGTTTATACTATAAAATTGATGTTACAACTGGAAGGAGAACGAGTACAGACTGGGAGGAACATGTATTTTTATAGTCTTTATAGGTGAAAATGTCTCAAGGCACCTTTGAGCAACTGGCAAGAGCAGTGCCATTTTGTGCATAGCAAGTCCTTCAAGCAGCCGGAGTTCATTGACTGATTAACCTGGAGATTATTGGCTAAAATACCAGGAGAAACTATATTCACTTTCTAAATACTTTAATGGGCTTTAATCTCCACCCTACATTCTCATCAGAACTTAGTTCTCAAGAGAGGACCGTTTTACATATTATAAATTTTTCATGTAGTCTGTTCGTAAACAAAACGAGGTTGAGCTAAATCAGGTGCTGCCATATCAGAAAGCCTTATCCTGAACTACAGAGATTTGGGAATCAGCATTTTATTAAATTCTTACATAAACTAAAAATAAAATGAACTAGAATTACCTGTCGAAAAACCTCAATAATAAAATTTACATTCTCCCTTGAAGAATACAACACTTTGCGCACTATTTCCATATCAGTTAGATGTTCTTCATCAACACTACATAGACTGGATGAACTAGGCTCTCGTTCAGTTAAGGTGCTAGTGTTTGAATGAGATTGCTCCAGTTCTACAGCACCATCCCCTGAGTCTCCCCGGAGGGAACTCTCTTCCCTGGCAGCCAAGCCAGCAGCTGCTCTCTGATGAGAGAAAAAAAAAGAAAAAAATCTGCTGCATTAAAAATTAACTATTAAAATAAACTCTGCAGTAATTATTTTATAAACTAGTTTGGTAATGAAATTATGCCACTTTTCGTTTTACCTGAATGTTCTTTGGTATGTTTTCACCTTCAACTCCAGGAATCTGAAGTGTTGTGGTAGATTTCAGTTCAAACCAGAAAGACACCAACCATCGGATGACAGAGACACGAGCAGACAAAAATGTATCCTTAGTGCAATATGTTGCTTCATTTGTCTCTGGATCTTTCTTGGTCATAATATAATATGGCTTTGGTCTCAACTGTGGGACCTCTGTGAACAAGGAATTTGTAAATATAAAGCGCACCGTAATAAATCGATTTCAAGATTCTCACCCTCGTATTCAAGTCTCTGCACTCCTCTGCACCCCCTACCTCTCTGACCTCCTCAGCACAGTACCCATTGGCTTCGTTCCTCCGGGTCTGGCCTCCTCCTTGTCCCCCGTCCTCTGCTCCACCCTCGGTGGCCGTGCCTTCAGCCACTATGCTCTGAGGCTCTGGAACTGCCTTCCTCACTCCCTTCGTCTCGCTCCCTCCCTTCCCATTTTCAGGTCTCTGCTGAAGACCTTTCTTTTCAACCGTGCCTTTGGTCATTCCCACCCCACCCCCTGCTCGGTCCCGGGAACCTAAACTGTAAAGCACTCTGAGACGCCGTCTGGCGTGGAGGGCGCTATATAAATCCAAGTTGTTGTTATTGTTGTTGTAGTAAATCAGTTTAGAAAGTTTGCACTTTATTTTCAATACCCGGAAGGAATAAATAAGAAACATTCCACGAATTGACAGAGGTCACAGATCCTCCAGTGGACTCCCAAATAAACTATTAAGCAATTGTGGGTCAAGAGGCCATACATGTGAACTTCAAAACTTAAGAGATGTGTGACCAGATATCCCCACTGCATCCATGCTTTACGGACAAAATCCAAAGAATTATGGGTAACATACTATTGAACTCCTTGTAACTCTTCTGCTGTATCTCTTTAATAGATGATTAGGTATCAAACAGTTCTTACATTGTAAATTTAGCCTTCAATAGGTACGCAAAAATACGCTGATGTTAATTGGATTTGAAAATGAAAAACACATGCTTAAGAGCTAAAAAAAAAATTAGACGTTTTAAATCTAAAGAGGCAGATTCTCCAGTGCTGGGTTCAGATGTTCCTAGATAGCTAAAAATTTTAATATGAAGCATTAAATATCACTTTATATTTATATTAAATATCTCAATTACAAACCGAAATAAACAGTTAAAATTCAATTTTAAAAAAAAGTTCCAATAAATGAGCAGCATTACAATATCTCGATTGCAGAGACTCCCATAATTGCCACAAGCTCAATTCCTTCAACGAATGAGACAGTGACCACAAGCATAATATGCAAGCAGAAAATGGAAGAAAATGGAGTCGGGAAACCAGAATTAAGCTTCACTATCTTGGGAAACAGGGATTTAAAAAAAAATGATCAGACAAAAAGACTTCAAACATTGATACAAATAAAATCAGATCACAGTATTCCTATTCCATATAAAAGCACAGGAATCATGGGTAGGGGCAGCCCCATTAATGTAGTGAACAGAGCTTCATTTTGCAGACCGGGAGATGGCTGGTTTGATCTGTGGCTCTTGCTGAATTTACTGGATTCAGTGGGGTTTCAACAACAATAACTTGGATTTATATAGCGCCCTCCACGCCGGACAGCGTTTCATGAGGTGCCCAAATTGACCCCAGCCTATTCAGAGTTGGGGAGGAAAAACAGCTCCCTCTATAAAACTCTTATCTGCTGGTTGTGTGTACACATGTGGCAGCTGGGTGGGGGTAGGTCAGGCTTAGCTACATTGCCCTGTATAGTCGAGTGGCCTGTCCACACTCACTACCTAGGCTAACAGATAAACCATGGCCACTTGGGCAGGGTAACAGAGGACAACCAACTACACCCCAGGAAGGGGAGGCCAGATCAGGACCAGAGAGGCTTATAACAGAGGAAGACAATTTGAACAATTAGACACAATTTTCTGTTTTTTAAAAAAATCAGATTTTCAGGCATATGCAATAAAAATATCATCTTTACCAAGTATTGGGTTAAACAAGCTGGTCTCGTTTGAAAAATTTGGAAATATGTGAGGCAGATAGTACTTCTTGAAGTTTGCAAACAAAAATGCAAACCCCTTTTCCTGATTTTCTTTGTCTTTCCATTCTAATCCCTTTGCCTGTAATAAAATACAGCAGTTGTTTAATTTCAGATTTTCATAGCAATTATAAACGCACACTACACAGAAAATATCTGCCCTCAAATAGCAAGGACAAATTCAGTCTGAATTATACAGTATCAAAGCTCTGAAATATATATCTTAATTTTAAAATATCTGTCCTTAAGTAGCCTTGTAATTATACAGCATCAAAGCCTTGAAACATCTCAACCCACAGTAAAAGCTGATCTCATTAATCACTGTAACTATGCCATCGGGATAAAAAAAACACATAGAACTTGGTTTAACAAAGCTCATATAATCTTCTCCCATCTGGAGTATTAAACAGTCAATCGCACAAATGCTACTGGGTTCAGGTCAACTGGCTAAAGAATGTATGAATAGCGCAAAGCAAAGATGCATTATTTTCCCCTCCACAGGGTTCCAATTGAATATGTCAAACTCCCCCATCTGCTAAAGAAGTGGAGATTCCAAAAATTGGTTGGACAAACTGAGTCGGGGAAGGAAAAGCAAGAGAATGGAGAGCTGGTGCGCGCAGAGATAAAGAGCACGCAAGAGAAAGGAGCAAGCAGAAAGAACAAAAACATGAAGGTAATAACTAAACAAACTAGGCAACTCTCATAGCGTTTCTAGTGGGCAGTTAAAGAGTGGCAGAATAATTTGCCGATCCTGTCTCCTTCAATTAGCAATAGTTTGGGGCATAAAAAGGTTGGAAGCAGAAATACTTTCAAATAAATCTTACATCAGGTTTGTAAAATTTAAGTACAGTTAGAATAATTACCAACTTTAGGTCCATTAACAATGTTTAGTAGGGTTAGTACACTAAAGTGACTACCTGGATTACCATGTATTTTAGCAGTGCATCAAGAAAGTAGCTTGTAAGATCATCTTGTCCTTTGTCTCCGGATTGTGGAGGTACAAGGGGAGTGATTTCTTCTGGAGTGACTTGAGCTGTCAGTTTAAATATTCATTTTAAAAAAGTACAAGACTGAACATTTGTCAAATAAGTATTACACACACTTGAATAGAACACATTCTGTTCATGGAAAAGGATTCATATCATGCTCTCAATTTCTCACCCAAATAAACTTAAATAGTCCCATTTACAGTGTTAGCCTACTGCCCACTGTCCTCGCAGCAGCAAGTTCATCAAACTATAAATTTAATGTATTCTCCACTGATGCTATTCAGTTATTCATTTAATGAACACGTGCTATTTCTCTATCTCCACTCACATGAGAGTTAAGGTTTTGGCAAGCTTTTGGTCACTGGGATGCTCACTTAGTAACTCTTTAAAAATACTTTTAAAAAATCAGGTCGACTCCTGTGGAGTGGAATACTGCGCAATTTCACCTCATTGTCCAAGCCATTAAAGATACAATATCTATTTTAAAGACTGATATTTACACAACGTATCTTCATTAGCAAGAGGAGAAAGTGAAAGAACACAGTTCGCAAATACGAATGCCCTACCAAGGCAGAAGTTGCCAAATTCCAAAGATTAATTCCACTAAGTTTATTGGGAAATCATAAACACATTACTCTTCATCCTCACTCAAAGTAACATTTAAATATTAGAGCAAGAATTCTCCCCCATCCCACTGGGCTACAGTAAAAGATAATAATAATAATAAGATCTCTTAGCACTGGACAAGAAGAATGAAGTAATGTTAATGCCATTGTCATATCAACTCATATTTTAATAATTCTTATAATTCTTGCATTTGATATGGCACCTTAGTAGGAGTCCTGTAGCTCAGTGGTTAGAGCACTCGCATTGCAAGCGAGAGACCTGGGTTCGATTCCCGGCAGGGCGAAACCTTGGGCAAGTTTTCTTACTCCACGCGCCTAATGATAATCTCTCAAGAAAAATAAGCAATAAAATTGGTCACTTCAATCCACGACTGTTTGTGGGACACTGCTGTATGCAATTGGCTGCCGTGTTTCGCCCACAAATATACAGTCAACTCACTTTACAGTATACACTGTGAAACGCTTTGAGATGTCTTGAAGATGTGAAGAAGCGCTATATCAAATGCAAGGATTATTATTATTATCACGTCTTTGGGACATCTCAAAGCACTTCACAGAATATATTGTAAAGTGAATTGTGGGTGAAACGCAGCAGCCAATTGCGCGCAGCAGTGACCCACAAACATTCGTGGAATCAGTGACCAAATTAATATTATTTATTTATTTTATTATTATTAATACTTTTTTTGAAGGGATTATTACTCCTGGAAAAGCGATCTACCAATCGGGTTCCTACTCATTGCTAGATAAACAGAGGCGGGTGGAGTAAGGAAACTTGCCCAACGTTTTGCCCTGCCCTGCAATCAAACCCAGGTCCTCTTGTTTGCGAGACGAGTGCTGTAATCACTGAGCTAGAGGACTCCAAGTTAAAAGGCAATAATATATGGATTGTACTAAATGGTCACTTGCCTGTATCATGGCGCACATGGTGAAAAAGACAATTCTCTAACTAAACGGTTACAAACAAGGTCAAACAATTATTTGAAAGTAACAGAAAGGCAGTAATAGCAACATTTCGACAAAAACATTTTGACCATGAGTGCACAATGGATATTTCTGGCACCAGATTAGCAATTCCTATTTTTCAATAATACTTAGTTCCTTCAGTCTAAATATATAAAAATATTAGCTTCATAGTCACAATACAAGACTTTGGCTATACAAAAACCTGACGTTTCCCATGGAATTTTAAAACTTATACAAGAAATATTATCTGTTATGAGTAGTTTTATTATTATTATGTTTCTAATCAGGTAATTTCAGCAGCTACATACTAAGACTTGGAAACATTCATTCTATACCCAGTGAATACTTACAACTGTGTCAGTACTGTAGAGAGAGGAGGAAAAACAAGTTAGATTTTATTGAAAAACCACAGCAGCAAATTCTTACTTTCTTGAAGATAGAGCGGAGAGTTAATCAAATTGTCCAATGTTCGAGGTCCATGATCTGATTGCAATGGTGGGAATCCAGGAATGAGACAGGCGAAAATATGCAGCTGTTCCTCAGTACAATTGTGTTGGAGTGCTTGCATCCACAGCAGAAAAAGTCGTACACCTTCACGTCGAATCTGGAACAGCAGAAATTACAATTTCAAATCAAGTAAAAAGTACAATTTCATTAACAGCTGGAATCTGAAGTGTTGCTTTTTCTAATATTTCAAGTTATTTCAATTTTTTTGAAAAACTGTTGAATCACAATTTAATATTGCAAAAAAAACGTGATAAGTCACTGAGGTTTTCAGCTTTTACAACAATTAACTTCCTCTGATAATATCACAGGTAATGCATTGAAAAAAAACATACTGCCTAAAGAGAGTTTGTTTCTTTAAAGAGAGTGAACTTGCCCATCATAACTACTGCATCGGAAAAGCTAGTATCAGAATTTAGCATAAAAATATTAATACACCAAACCAAGCCACACTTTGATTTAGGAGTTTCTAATTCAATTTTTAATAAAAGGTTTGATAAAATGCAAAAACCTTTAAGGAGTTTCCAATATGAAGCAGTTTCTTTAAAACCAAGCCTGTAAAACAAAAGAAAGCCAGTCATGCTAAGAGCAATATTCTTGCACCGAAAATACCAACATTCAAAAGAGTAAAAGGGTAAAATGTCAGAGTTCTCGGTCGGACTAGGTAAACACCTGTAACCAAGTCCTTGGCATACTCCATTTTACTTTGGGTGGTCTTTGTATCCTATGGCATAATTTTACAGCCAAAGGAAAAGGAGAGACCACCATTTGTAAATATCTGTCTCAGTTACCTCGCAGAATTTTTCATTTGGCCAGTGTCTATTTTACATTTTCGAATCAAGCTCTTAAGACTCCTGAAGTAACAGATAATGTTGAAAATTATCTATACAGGGACAAATCGTTAAAATCACAATAATGAACATTAGTAATGTTAGACAGAGTGATTTTCTTTTCCTCTTCCTTTCGTCAGAAAAGTCTTATCTGCAAAGACTACAACAGCTGCTTTGCCCAAGCAAGAATGACAAAGAACACCAATGTTGACAATTAATAATGTGTAATATAGTACTTATAGATAATATTACCCTCAGATCGAAACATAGTACTGAACCATTGTGTACAGACAGGTTATAGCCTTTTAGAAATAAGTTTACTCAAGGAAACTAACGGTTGTCCCACAATATACATAAAAACAAAGGCAATCACTTCAGTATTTTTTGAATTTGTAGTTCCATAATTCAGGACATTTTTTGGTATATATCAAAATCTTAACAGTAAGCCAACAAAAATGATAAAAATGTTTTTTTTTTTAAAAACTCAACTTACCTATGCTGTGGAACTGCCACCTGTTTTGAATTCTTTCCGGAAGGTGTTGCAGAATTTTCTGTAAAATATAGGAATTTCTATTTGAAAGATGTGCCTCTTGAGAGCATGAACAACAGAGGAGAAACAGGCTTCAAAAAAGTCTGAAACTATTTTCTCTTAGTTTAAGATTGTCTGGAAATGTGGAAAATCAATTTTAGACCAAGTATTTTACAATTCTGTGCCATATTAAGTTCAAGTCAAAATGGTTATGCAGGCTAAAATAGGTGAAAACATTGGCCCATAATTTCTAAAAAGAAAGTGTGGTTAATTAGGTTTTATTAAAGAAGTTGCTTTTGAAAATAGCTCAAATTTAGGACTGAACTAAAATGACAGGAAAGCATAAATACTGAAAACCTTAAATTCAATTGTACCCCTGCATTGAAGCAAATGACTACAAAGAAGTTTGAATGAAATATATGATCTGATCCCTCCAGAAAACTCACTCTACTGTCTTCCCATTACAGTATATGCTGTTTCTTAAATGTATAAATCTAAGCTAGATTAGGTCTTTTATCTCCAAACAAAACCAATACCTTTACCATGATAGAGTACATTTTCAATCAATGTGCACATTGATAGATAAGGAACAAAAATATTGAAACTGCTTCAAGAAGTGATCATCATTATGCATCACTAAGTAAATTAATATGCCAATTTCTTTCTCCACATGACGCAATGTCACCTTAATTGCTAACATTTTAGTACATGTTCCAACTGTAAAGGTCAAATATGAGCTGGAATCTCTATGTTACTCATTGAACTTCTTTATTGTTGGTGCACATTATAAAACTTTACAATTAAAACAGTTGCAGAAAAAACATCAGCCCTGTAGTAAATGTTTTTCTTAACAGTTCACTTTCCATTTCATCTTTCTTACCTCAAAAATAAAAAGGATAGAATCCAATTCTTCCCTCTGTGACTTATGACCTGCAGCAACAGCACATACCAGTATGTTATTTTTTTTTTAAAATGAGCACACCAGCAAATACACATTTTTAGTACTGTCAGCTATGCAATGTAAAACATTCTCCTTATGGCACCATGTTCTGACCTCACAAACATTGTATGTGGTTAACCAAAATGGTACATGTAGATTATCATGCACAACACTAGTTCAAACATCAGTAATTGTATGTTCCTTGGAAAGCACTTTCACAGACCCATATATCTGGCCCAGTGTAAAATTGCATTTCAACACCTTAATGCTAAACCAAAGCTTTTCCCTCAATCAGACATATTGGTGAAGGCTCACATCATTTTTATTAGTACGTCTGATCAATGAAGGCCCGGGTAGAATGCAGAATTGGGAGGATAGAGGAAGAGGAGGAAGGTAGAAAGAAATGAATCTGTTCTTTTCAATAAAAATTAAGTTGTGGCCAAAATAAACATAAAATGGAAAGAAGAACTACTGTAACAATAAGAGAATAACTAAATCTAAAAGATAGGCAAATATAAAAACTGAAAACTTGTGTAAGAAAATAACCAGGCAAATACACACAAAGCTTTTATTGTTAATATAGATTTTGAAATCAAGACTGGTAGTTCATTTGTTAAAAATATATATACTGACTTTAATAGTAGTAACTGAGAAACTAGTTTGTACTCCTAAAAAAAAAGGTCTTTTTTTGGCAAGTCGTAGATTTCCATAGTTTTGAAACACATTTTGCTTACCTTTTTGCTTTAGGCTGGCTTCAATTGCCACAAAATTTTCAAAGAAAACATAGTATATGTGCGAATATGTTTGATCAAAGAATGGCTTCAAATCATTTGCTTCAGAATTTTCTACAAATAAAAAAGAAAAATGAGTATTAAGATTTTGCCATGGATGCTGTTTGGGAATGTAATTTTAAAATCAATAATTTTAGTACTAAAATTTGCACTTTCATAAAGAAATACATGAGAATGGACATTACAGCAAAATAATTATCCCAAACTGTTGGCATAATCCTGTAAAAGCCCACATTTACAGCAATAAAGACAGAAGTCGCTGGGAACACTCAGCAGGTCAGGCAGCATCTATGGAAGAGGAAAGTGTGTTAACATTTCAGGTCGATGACCTTTCGTCAAACCTTCTGAGTGTTCCCAATGACTTTGGTGTTTATTTCAGATTTCCAGCATCTGCAGGATTTTACCTTTTAGACATTTACAGTAGCTTTGTGCAACAATGTGACATAGGTGCACACACCCCCACCCCACCAAACCCCACAGTCCTTGAAACACTTTCTCGATTTCATGTTATCTGTGATGGCATCATTTTAAATTTATGTCGAACAAAGTGGTGTAGTGTTATTTGACAGAAAGCAGTAGTGCAGATTCTGTTTAACTTGCTCATTCGGAAGGGGAGAAAACATTCAAATGCCTCTAACTGCAACACAGTAAATGCTGCCATAGTGTTAGATCTTAAAAAATACCCTTATAAAGTTACTTCAATCAAATAATATGGAAGACCAAAACTTCTGGGCTATCAAAGAATCACAGTACTACAAAGATTTTTCTTCTTTTCTTCATGCTCAAATCAAACGTTTCTCAAACAGGATTTTTTTTACTCTATTATTTATTTTGAAATATCTTAATGTGGAACAACAACAAAAATCATAAAAATAGGAGGCAGAACAAGAGCATCAAGTGTATGATGCAGATCGGCAATCTAATCTGGGGTGGGATTGTGACCCATGTAGGGGTGAGCTATCGTCTCAAAAGAAGGCAAATATGTAGACCAGAGATAAGAGGAACAAATAGTATTCCAGTCCTCTTTTTCCAATTAAGCAAACCCATATAAAGTTCAATCCAATCCAATTGTGAAATAGTATCCAATGGGGGGGGAGAGAGAACAGGAGACACGTGCACCCAACGATATGAGTTCAGATATAATGGGCTGTATTTGGTATCCAGACCACTGTCCCAAGAAAGATTTGGGAATGGACATCACAGCAAAATAATTATCCCGAACTGTTGGCACAATCCTGTAAAAGCCCACATTTACAGTAATAAAAACAGAAGTCCACTGTGCCAAGAAAGAAAGGTGTGAGTTATCCGTACCATAAATCTTTTTAGTTAAAATCTAGGCTCCAAAGAAGCATAATGTGCCGGCTTAAAATGCTGATTTTAATAAGAGAGCCATTTTTGGAGAAGTTTTTCTTAAAAAATTTCAACAACTGCCAAGGAAAAAAAGTTAAACACAGAAGGACAGACTGTTACAAGATCAAAAAATCTAAAGATACAAATAATTTACTTTAAAGTAAACTAAGCTGGACTCAGCCGTGCGATTACATTTTTCAGTAACTACGTCAATCGCCCGCTGAATAAACAAAACTAAAATGGGAACACATTTTGTATTCCCATATTAGTTAAAAAAAGTGATCTTTGTTGTAAATAGTCAAATACCACATTCAGACATGTGCATAATTGGTTGGAAAGTATAAATGCATAACTGAGAGCATAATTATTTTATTAAAATTAAGACAAATTTTAAAAATCCCTTGGAGGGACACACACTAAAAAAAACTTTTACATCCTGTGCTGCAAGGAGCAATCAGCTCTGAGCGCACAATCAGTCCTCATCAGCACTGAAACAAGAACTCGAGAAATGTTCCTCCCAGGAGAGATGCACATTATATAAAATTGCCCACAAATGCAGTACATTGTTGCTCAGCGTGGCGTGGCTCTGGCTAACTATGCCAAATTCTCTTTATTGGGTACTTTTAATTAACACTGTCATACATTTTAAATACTGCTGAAGGTTTAACCACAACTTTTACCTCAGTCACCAGTATTGAAAAATACCTTTTTTGGATTAAATAAATAATTTCAGCCGGTAAGTGCCCATGCGGGTCACGACTTTGTTTCCTGTGATTCCATGTAGCTGTAAAGTGCTGTAGCAATGTTATGAGTTAGGAGATGATTTGCAATGTATTCAGAATCAAGAATCTGTTAAGATTTAGCCGTTTATCATATTTATAAAATACAACTAGTGCAAAGAAATCTGTTTTTTGTTAGGAAACTGAATGGGACTCTGGTGCATGTACAACTTTGGCGATAATACAATTGTAAAGATAAGACTTATGGGAGTTGTACTGTACCAGGCCCATCATTCATAAGTTCCAACATATCTGGCTTCCTATGGGTCCATGAAGTTCTATTATTAATCCTGTTATGAGAACAGACAGCAACTGGCACCTCCTTCAATGAACTACAATATATCCCTGGAGGTCACACAATAACGCTAGAACAGTTTAAAGTATCTGCTTCTCAGTTATTTCAATTGGAAATGACCAAGCATACTAAAATACCACTTTACCTTATCAGCAAAGTTTAAATCTATTTTACAGATAAAAAGTCCACTACAAGAAAACAGAACAAGTCCAAGTATGTTCATTTGAAATTCTACAAGGGGTTGCAACACATTGCTTTTCCCATCTATCCTCCGCCCTTCCCAAAACACTTAAGACATGTCAGCACTAGATTAACGGATGTTATGTGGAAAGGTTAGTAGAAATCTTGAGTCTGAGTCAGAGTTTGTGGGTTCAGCCTCAAGATCGAGGTCGGGTCGGGTCTTTAAATTCAATTAGTCTGGACTGACACTCCAATGCAATGCTGGGGGTGTGCTGCATTGTTGGAGGTGCCGTCCTTTAGCTGAGATGTTAAAGCAGCGTCTTGTCTGCCTGTTCAGGTGAATGTTAAAGATTCCATTACTATTTAAAGAGAGAAGTGTTACTTGTCTTGACCAACAATCCCCCAGAATAAATTTGCCATTCACTTCATAATGGTTTGTGGAACATTACTGTGCAAGAATTGGCCATTGCATTCGTCTACAAAATCTAGTTACTACACCAGCTAATCCTGTAAAATGCTTTGAGATGTTCTCCCAACATGAAAGGCATTAGATCAAATGTAATTATTACTATTATTAATACCATACTAATCCCAATGGTGATCAGTAACTTGATTAATTACATTTTCTTTATATATGTGTCCAAATCCTTGACTGTCCAGCACCTTGGGACACCTTCCCAATGTGAAAGGCATTATACAAATGTAATTTGATGTTGTTGTACGCTTAGCCCAAATTGGCAGATTTTCAGACAGTGTCCAAAGAATGTCACAAGGTAAAACATGCTGAATACTAGTGTTTCAAAGTTGGCTAGGCAGTAGACATTTGAATCCTGAATTTAATTGTATTGCACAACATGCTACAGTGTTTTGAAGTATTTTGAATCAATGCAACCAGCAACTATGGTTATACTTGCATCATTATCAGAGATCGATGAATCGATACTTAAGAATGGACAAGCCTCCAGTTCTTATACTGTGATTGATTAGCAGAATGAACACCTTCTTCAGATGTCTCTCTACCACTGCTAATTTCTGAGAAATCAGTAACATCAAACTTCATGTTTGACATTGGCACAGTTTAAAAGATCGCCCTGCACCAAAGCCAAATATGCAGTGCAACTGGATAGCGCAAAAACCTTTGGCACAGAAGGGAAAATTGCTGCTGACAGATGAAGATGGACATGGAAAAAAAAAATTACAGAAACATGAATTGTGAATCTGCAGGGTGACCAAAAAGTCATGAAACTATTACAATGTCTAATAAGTCTTAAAAAAATGATGATATATATTTTTTAGATAATAGGGTAGCTTCATGACTTTTTGGTCACGCTGTATTTAAAGAATAACTGTCATTTCTAACAACGCCCCCCCGTTAAGGCCTCCTCAGTTGGGAGAGCTTTTGTCAGTTCTGAAGCTTCCAGATGGGAGCACTGCACAGAAGTGATGCGTTTTATTTACTTATCTCAGAGTAGAAACCCAAACATTAAGCTCAAGCATGGGCTGCTGATAATCAGCCAAGAAGAACAGCAGTTATTTGAAAATCTACTGCTTTTTGACATCCTTGCCTCCAAAATGAAGCAATGATTCATGGAGATGATCAATACAGCTGGGGGAAGAACATAAATGTATGTTTCTATTCCCATTGATAAAAGGTGTGAATTACAAGCCTGTAATTTAATAAAAAGTGGTCAGATGATAAACCCCACTGATATACTGAATGTCTACATTTTTTTTAAAAATTAGGATTACGATTCAGTTTTCAAGCTAGATTTGGGCAGTGGCAGCTTAAAGTCTCATTTGTGAGAACAATTGCCAAAGAGCATTATTATTAAATATCTGAATTTCAGAAAAACATGTTTGACTTTTTTTAAAAATAAAAATACTAGTTACTTCTACTGATTTCCAAGCTTGAATAATTCTAATGGTAATACAGCCATTTCAGTTTTCTTCATTTGTTTAGTTACAGCAAATAAACAGATGCTATGAACGTCACCCTCCAATTAAGAAACTGCACAAGTCATTCACAAATTTTCCAATTACTTGAAACTGCTGGCTAGATTGAAAGTTACTTCCAGGCACTTTCTTCCTCACCCCTCAAAACTATAAAACAGAAAAATTAATGCATTTTAAAAGTACTAGGAGCTTGATCCGATTAAAATGTCTGCATCCAAATATAGATGAGAATTATACTAAAATCCCACAGCAAAAATAGGACACAGTTATGGCGGCAATTTTCCTTCTCCCCAAAGGTTTTTTTAAAATAAAATGTCAGGGCCAAAAATTGCCTCTGCACTGGATGTCTATTCCACAAACTTGATCCAGTGGCAAAATGTGGAAGAAATTCTGGATAGATCTACAGTATCAGGACCAGACTGCACTTTAAGCAGTATCTCAGTTTAATTTTCAGGGCTTGTCTGGGAATAGACACAACACTAAAAGGCTGAGATGCCTTAGTACAAGACTGTTTACAGAGTTGTTGGAGATGCACATCATGTTGGAATTAAGGGTCAATTAGAGGAGGAGCCACATTTAGCTTTTTCCATTAGAAATGTTAGATCATCTTGATTTCCCAGTGAAAAAAACACAAACCTCTCAGGATAAAGTGGCCAATATAATTTAAACCTTTGAATCTGTATTCATTTGAAAAAAATATTATTTTTATTAACAAACATCTACAAAGGATTTGCTTAGACATGAATCTATCAATTCTTATTGAATATCAATTTACAGAATTATAAATAATTAATATTCACTGGATTCTTTTAAGTAAATCTGAACATTATAATCTGGTGATCTGTGGTGCAGAAAAGCTACTGTAATCAACAGCAGGATTTTAAAAAATTTGGCTATGCCAGAATTTAAATAACCAGGTCCTCTTGTTGGAAGAATTCCTTTAGTGAAAATTAGATACAGATGGTTTCTGGAATAACATCCAGTAGTGTAGCAAACGCTTCTGTAAAACTAAAATCACAATACATTTATAAGAACAACTAACTTAATTTACAGTGATTTATATTTTTACCACATAGATATGAAGCAATAACCTAAAACTAATTATTCAACATCAAATCACAGCCAAATGATTTCCCTCCAAAAAAAATACGTTTGAATCAAATTAGTTCACTGTTCTCAACCACAATTCCTGGAAACTCATTCCTACTGTCAGTTACCTCTGTAAAGAAATACTGTATCCTAAAACTTTATCCTAAATTTCCCTTCACAACCCAAAAAGGTTTTTTCCCAGGTTTACTTTATTGTATTCATCATCTCAAACACCTTTTCAAGGCTTTATGTCTCTGGTGGTCTTGACGCTCTTCATAGCTCATCCCTTTAACAATGAGCACCAGCTTCCTTGCTCTCATCTAGAGCTTAGTGCCAAAGGAACTATCCTTGACACTGATCAACACTCCTGCCTGCAACCAGAATCGGAACTCTTGCCACCTTTAGCATCAATGCATTTTCTACATCATGCAGCACACAATGTTAGCAAACAAGCAGTTTGAACTTGTGCTTACACCATTTAAAAATATTTTATCCACCTAAACAGCCTTAAGTTATGCCTCTCGAGCTTCATCGTGGATGGACAGTAGACATAGGTTTATTAGAATAAAGCACAATTTAAAATTATTAATTCAATATCTGTAAACAGGTTTGAAAATTTTGATTAGCTTTTCATAAAAATCTGAACAGGAGCAATAAAAGTACTTAGGAGGAGAAAATATAAAGGGATGATAAATATCTAGATTATACTCTGAATAAGAATAAAATTAAATGAGGGGAAACAGGATTAATATGCAACATAAAATCCATAGCATGTTAATTTAAAAAAAAGTGAGCTTCAGGATACGACCTCTGCACGATTGCAAAGAATTCTTTATGCCAGTGAAAAGATATAATTTTCCACATTAGTACGGACAGGAAGTGTTTGTATAAACTGTAACAAGATTAAAATAAAATTTGGGGCAGGAAGTGCTTCGATTTTAAGACAGCCATTCAACAATAACAAAATGCTTGATCTCTTCAATTAGACTCCGCCTATTTGCACACCATAAAAGTTACAATTTTCTTGCTTATGGCAATGCATTTTTTTAAAAAATGTTTTTATTTTTAAAAAATGGTATGAGCTCAGAGCACATATTCCTGAAATAAAAATCAGGAAATTGTGGAAAAACTTCATATTTTCATACAAATCAATTTTAAACAAAGAAAATGTTGCATCCCATTGTTTATTCTATCAAACTAGATCCAAAATGTTCATTATAACATTAAAGCTGAATGATATTCAACATTCACAACATGTTATTGAATGAAAGCTCAACATTCATTCATGGCAAAAGACCGAGTGGGAAATCAATGACTGTGGGAAAGACCAGAGGCAATGGCTTGACTTACAGTATTTTCAAAGATTGCAACAAATCATCAAAATCCACTATAAGCTCCTTTTTTTAAAAAAAGTTCAAGGTTATTTTTAGAAACAGTAAGCAGAAAATATTTCCCCTTACCCCCGGTAGTTCTTAAAAAAGTTCACTATGCTTCAAAATTAAAGCTTTTGCCTAATTCTAGACTCTAAAACAATAACAAAAGTACATTTGTATTCCACCTTTCGCGTCGGGAGGACACCCCAAGGTGCTGAACAATCATTGTTTTGGACCCAAGCTGGGGGTGAGGATCGGAGAGGGAGGAGGGTGTCCGAAGGCATGGTCGAAGAGGGTCTTGAGACGGGACTTGAAGGAGGCAAGGAAGGGGGCAAGGCCGAGTGACTGCGAGATTGAGTTCCAGAGAATGGGGGCAAAGTGGTTGAAGGCCCGCCTGCCAATGGTGTGTCGGGCAAGGTAGGGGACGTGAAGCAGCTCGAAGCCTGCTGAGCAGGTCGGTAGGGAGCTACAAGGTTGCAGAGGTAGGGGGGAAGCAAGGCCATGGAGGGCTTTGAAAGTGAAGACCAGGATCTTGAACTGTTTCCTCTGTGTGATGGGAAGCCAGTGGAGTCAGGTGAGGATGGGGTGATAGGGCCGCAGTGCCTGGTGTGGGAGAAGACACGGACTGCAGAGATCTGGATGATCTGCAGCCTATGGAGGGAATGCTACATTAATAGAGTAATTCTAGACTCGGGGAATTTCTCCTCATGTATTCCTCCAATAATTCTGCAATTGTACATAGACATCACATTGTACACTTTTCCAAAGACATCTATCTATATATATATATATTGTCCAACACACTATTTTCTGCAACATTGCATGAAGTTATGAGGGAAGTGGTGTTTGTGCAACACAAACCAAAACAGTCTTCTTATATCTAATTCACAGGATTTGATTTCTTGACTGAAGCTTTATTGGAAATCAACAAAGCCATGTATTTAAAACAAAGTTCAATCCAAAATATAACACGGTCAATATCATACCGAAAATAAACAAACTCATGAAAACAAGCAAACTGTTGAATATTGAAACTGTTCTCTGATGAATATTTATATTCGTGTGGTTTTATGAATGAACAGAAATGCTGCTAAAGAATAACGAGACTAATAATGGCGAAACAATTAGGAAGCAAAACCTTCAACAATTTACTATTTTTAAGAAGGTGGAAGCTGAGTGGAATATGCGCTACATTACCAGGATTACAGATTTGATACTAACTTGCAGAGCAGTTAGAAAAATATTGTTGACAGGATAGTACATTCCAAACCTATCGGGTTCACATCGAAGCTCAGCACAGTTGACAACACAGACTCAGGTTTGACAAACTTGTTTCGGGAAAACAGATTTGGATCTAAACGAGAGAGTTGAAAACGAAAACATGGTCGCAGCTCCGTTTGGAAATATTGCGTTCGAGACAAGGAGACTGTTGCGGTGCCACAAAGTTACAGATCATGTCGTGCCACTTCAACAATGTAGTCGGGGGTAAGCTCCGCGTCCCCCCCCCCCCCACACTGCCCCTCTCTCCCCCACACATATCAGCAAAAAAAAAGTCCAATTTCTTCCAGAAGTCCGACAGTAAATCATTCGTAGGAGAAAAGGTGTCTCGTCAATCAGCTCAGGCCCTAACAGAGTACCCCGTTTGCACCGACACACACACACACACACACACACCCACAACACTCACAGCATTCCGCTAACGGTAATAAGCAGCCACACAGCCAAAGAGGTCCACGATCACAAGCGGATGCAACAGCAAACCAGTCGACACCCTGTGTGTTTTTTTTTAAAAAATGCATTAACCCGCAGAACAAGCAGCCGACACCACCAAGAGCCCACATCCTGCCCCCGTCTTTCGGTGCCGCTGCTCCCGGAGACCAGCGATAACGACTCGTGGGACCAGCGGCTCCGACTTCCCGGCGAGCGGAGCGGAGCAGAGCAGCCCACACGGTCCTGGGCACTAACCTATGACAACTCTCAGGTGCTTTAACCTCGTCAGCACATCCTTCTTGGGATCCACGACTTTCTGCGTGGACTTCTTCACATCTCCGTGAGGTTTTTTGGAAAACATCGCTGCTCCTCCGGTTCAGGCGACCGACCGACCGCTCGATCGCTCCCTCCACCCTCTCCCCCCAAAAAAAAATAAGCCAAAATAAGAGAGATAAAGATTGCTTTCCTCCCTCCCTCCTGGAAAAAAAACACAATCAGCGAGAAATAAATACGAGGCGGCGCAGGGCGGTGCTCTTCATAACAACGGGAAGCTCGGGGGGGGGGAAGGGTCGCGAAGGAAACGTTCAAAACCAGGCAGAGCCCCGAAGCGAGCGCTGCCCGGCGATCAACCGTCAACCGACAACATGGCGGACTCCGGCAGGACAAACAACCGGCGCGACCAATGGAAACCAGAGCCGTTCCAGCCCGCCCGCCCATCATAAACCAAGCGCGCATTTACACAACAGCGAGCGAGCGAGCGAGCAGCGCGATCAGCCCGCGACACGCCGATACATCGCCGGCTCACGGCTTACCATCAACCGCCAAATGACAAAGTGGCAAACAGGACAGTGAACCCAGCGCTGCATCGATTGCTCGGCCGTCAGTTGAGTAGGCTGCCGTTCCTCCCCCCCCCCCTTCCTGCCGCCGCCGCCCCCTGTTGTTTATGTACGGCGGCCGCACAGCCTCTCGGGAGCAGCAGTTTTCAACCTCGCTCCGCGCCGCCGAGAGCGTCGGTCTCGAATCGCGCCCGAACTACGGCTCCCAGAGTGCCCGGCGCGCCAGCGCCTTCGCTCCTTCCCGGCGAGCTGGGAGGGCAAGCCCCGCCCCACCCGGCCTGGCATAGGCCCGCCGAGCTGCCAATCACCCTCCGGACCAATCCCCGGCCGCTGTTGCGCCGTTGGGCTCGTCGGCGGCGAGTGTCGCGGGTGTTTCTGAAACGTTCAGCGGCTCCGTGTCTTTAAGAAAAAGTCAACCGGCCCGGCGGCGGCCGCCAGCTCCGGCCTTGCATTTATTTTTTAAAATTTTTTTAATAAAAAAAAACCGCATCACGATGCCGGTTCATTCCAGAGAAAAGAAAGAAAACAACCATCACGAAGACATGGACGTCGATTACCCGGAAAATGAAGGCGGCAGCAGCTCGGACGATGAGGACACGGAGAGCTCCTCGGTCTCGGAGGATGGCGACAGTTCAGGTCGGGTTACAGGACAGGCCCCTCTTCCATTGCCCCCCCCCCCACCCAGCAGCTCCCGCCCCCACCCAACCACCCACCCAGTCGCCCCCACCCACCCACCCACCCCGACCGTAATGGTCAAGGACCCGGGTCGGCCGGAGCCACCTGTACCTATAAGGGACACGTTTCGGCAGGGCCCACGCAATGCCTGGGCCGGGGGAGGGGAGGGGAGGGGGTGGGCGTCCAGCAGTGCAACGTGAAGCCGACCACTGATTCACGTCTACTTGTGATCCGAGATCAAAGCCTCCCATCCCCCCCTCCCCACCCCCCTCCCCCCCTCCCCACCCCACCCCCCTCCCCCATTCCATCTTTAATCGCCAACTTCAATTCCCATTCCCACAAGATCTAGTTTGTCGAGGATTTGTGTTTTGAAGCTCACTTGTTTCATGTTATTGTCATTTAGGCTTTGGGCTCCTTGCAAGCTGATAGCACCGGATGATACAGTACTGGTTTGACATAACAAAATCATCGACGAATGGATGTGACAAGCGTTTGTAAAATAACGAGCAATACAATAAATAGCTTACTGATAGGTGGCCTTTTTTTAAACACAATATCCTGGCCTGCGATGAGAATCCCAAGGATGCAACCGTCTCGCCACAATCATCAGAATTACATTTGTAAAGCGCCTTTCACGTCGGGAGGAGTCTCAAGGCGCTGAAAAGTCGGGGATCAGGATCCGAGCGTAGGGGGGGGGGGTTGGGGGGCAGGGTTGGGATGAGGAAGGGCAAAGAGATAGGAGGGCGGCTGAAGGTATGGTCGAAAAGGAGGGTCTTGAGACGTGGCTTGATGGAGGCAAGGGAGGGAGCGAGGCGCAGGGACTGTGGGATGAAGTTCCAAAGGGGGGAGCAGAGAGGCTGAAAGCCCGGACGCCGTTGGTTGGGCGGGAGACATGGAGTAGGCCAGAGCCTGCTGAACAGGGGAGCAAACAGATTGCTAGGGGGTCAACATGTCAGAAAGGTAGAAGGGAAAGACGTGGAGGGCCTTGAAATTGAAGACGAGGAATTTGAATTCTGTCCTCTGAGGGAATAAGAGCCAGTGGAGCCGGGCGAGGGTGAGGGTGATGGGGTCACAGAGCCTGATACGGGGGAGGACACGAGTCGCAGAGTTCTGGTTGATCTGCAGCTTGTTGAAGGAAGAGTTCGGAAGGCCGATGAGGAAGTTTCCGTAGTCAAGCCTTAAGGTGATGAATGCATGAATGAGGGTTTCAGCGACCTGAGGGGTGAGGTAGTGGCGGAGTTGGGCAATGTTGTGGAGGTGGGGGAAGGCAGACCGGGTCATGGCACAGATATGGGGGAGAAAGGATAGTTGAGGGTCGACCAAGACATCCAGGTTCCTGACTGGCTTGGTGAGGTGGAGTGTGCATCCATGGATGCTGATGCTGCTAGTACCTGGTGTGAAGGTGCTGGCGCGAGCCAATCAGAAGGGCCTTGGTCTTGCTAATATTCAGCTGTAAACAGATGGCTCTTATCCAGGACTTTATGTTCTGACAGAGGGTGGAGGCAGAGAGATAGAGGTGGGTGTCATCATGGTAAGTTGACTCCATGTCTGTGGATGATGTCACCAAGCATGTAGAGGTTGAAGAGGAGGGGACTGAGGACAGAGCCCTGAGGGGAACACTGCACAAGACTGTGCGGGGGCTGAACCTTTCAAGGAGAGAACCTTGAAGGTTGAGGTGAGAGGAGAGGGGTGGAAGAGGATGGAGTGGTCCATCCTCTTCCACCGATGAGTGGATGAAGAACTACAGTACCAATGTGCCATTCCTGGTAACAAGACAGACTGTTTTTTGCATTATTATCACTGGGAGTTTAGTAAAGTAATGACGGACTTGTGAGATTCTCGTAGTATTGTACACCTTTTTGAAGTGTGACATAGTATAATTAGTAGATATTTGTGCTTCCAAACTTGCACCTAGAGAGAGAATTTTGAGCTGTACAATAGGTGAACTAGTTGAAGTTCAGACCCATCACTGTTGATAGTCATGGTGAATCAATTTGAGTTGCTTAAATAAGCTGCTTGTTGGCTTGGATACATTTTCTTTCGACGACTCCTCCCAATTGATACCAGTCTTATGAAACTGAATGCTTAATCTTTTATTGCAATGGTTTGTGTTTATATTAATTATTGGCCAAAAGCAATTATTTGTGCTCAATTAATAACCGCAGTACTTGCTCAATCCCAGAGTCTAAATATTAATTGTACTTTCAGGTAAAAGACATTTTAAAAAATTGTAAGCTAAGAATCTGGAACATATTTATGGTTTTCTTTTTTTTCTCCACAAGTTTGTGGACTTGTTTTGGAATATCGTGTAAAATTGCAAAGCTATTGTGGATAATTTTTTGGGCCAGCCAGGGGTCTGACAATGTAGAAACCCGTCACTATCCTGTAGCCAGACCAAACACTTTCATGCATGACACCTACACATGGAAATTTCTGTGTCTGGATAAATTAAAGTTAGAACATGAAATAAACGGTGAATTTATTTTATATAATTTTTTCTAATGATTGGCATGGGTAGGTTTACCAGCTAAAGCAATTTGTCTTTGTTTTAAAAAGAAAGCTTGTAGTAAGGAATAAGGTCAGAGCATGTGGAGTCGGGGGAAAAATGGCAGAATGGATAGCAAGCTGACTACAAAACAGAAAACAGAGAGTAAGCTCAGACTGGCAGAGGGTGGGCAGTGGTGTTCCACAAGGATCAATATTGGGACTACTGTTGTTCGCAATATACATTAATGATTTGGACTCAGGAATCAGCAGTACAATTTCAAAATTTGCGGACGACAACAAATTGGGGGGAGTAGTTAATACAGAGGAGGACTGCAACAAATTACAGCAAGAAATTAATAAACTTGCTGAATGGGCATTTAAATGGCAAATGCATTTCAATGTAGGAAAGTGGGAGGTGGTACATTTTGGTAGAAGGAATAAGGAAATCACATACATCCTGGAAAATAATAATAATAATCCTTGCATTTGACATAATGCTTTTTACTTCTTCTAGATGTCTCAAAGCGCTTCACAGAATATACTGTAAAGTGAATTGACTGTATATTTGTGGGCGAAATGTGGCAGCCAAATTGCACACAGCAGTGTTTCACAAACAGTCGTGGACTGAGTGATCAATTTTGTTTTTTAGCGATTATTATCCCTGAAAAAGTCACAAAATTCCTGAAAATCACAAGGATGATCCTAGAACTGAGAGTTTATACCTATCATATCAGGAAAGGCTGAACATACTTGGACTCTTGAAAAGAGGAGGGTAAGGGGGTGACCTGGTCTTTAAAAGGTGAAAGGTTTTGATAGGGTAGACATAGGGAAGATGTTTCCACTTGGGGAGACCAAAATAGGGGGCCATCAATATAAAAGTCACAATTAGATCAAATGGGGAAGTTAGAAGAAATTTCTTCACACAGAGAGTAGTGGGAATTGGAACATGCTACCACAAGGAGTTGTTGAGGCAAATAGCAGAGATGTATTTAAGGGAAAGCTATATAGGTACTTGAGGGAGAAAGGAATAGAAGGTTGCTTTGAAGGCTTAGTTGAGGAAGAGCAGGAGAAGACTCGTGTGGAGCATAAACACCGGCATAGACCAGTTGGGCCAAATGGCCTGTTCTGTGCTGTATTCTAGTGTATTCTAACATGTGGAACATATTTCTAAAGCCGGTTCTAATTAAGCAACATGATTATTTTACAGAGATGGATGATGAGGACTGTGAAAGAAGAAGAACAGAATGTCTAGATGAGATGTCTAATCTGGAGAAACAATTCACAGATCTAAAAGAACAGTAAGTCTGTTTTTATGCTGGTAACCTTTAGTGAGCTATACGGTTTTATTAATTTAATAAGTAATGATCCTTGCATTTCATATAGCATATTATCACATTCTCGAAATGCTTCACAGGATGTGTAAAGCACATTGACTCTCTTTGTGGGCAAACAAAGCAATCAATTTTGTGCACAGCAATGGCCTACAAACGGCCATTAAGTGTGTGACCAATTTTATCTGGGGCCAAACCCTGAGAGGGACTCCCTTCTCTAAATGTGACCATATTAGGCTTGTGCGTGTGTTAGGTACAAGCCAGTGAAATTCCCCACTTATTCGCTTAATTGTTCACCTTTTATGGTGGCATGCTGTCTGAAGAAAGCTATGCATTGGTGCTTTAATTACTGATTGGAAGTTAGATTCTGCACAATGTAATGTGCCAAAGTAGGCTTCCATTCCTGTAATTTCCCTGAAAAGGAAGCTGCAGCAAAGGTTTGAAGCATTAGGCTTCAGGAAAAAAAATCACTTAACTCATTTCCATGTGCTGTAAATCAATTTTATCTAAAATTTACACAAAAGTTTTCAATATAATATAGAAAACTGCAATAAGAATAATAAAATGAGTTTGCTAATTGAGCCTTTTGCAGCAGGATATTAAAATTTGGATAGTTAAGTACATTGTGAAGAAAATTAAATTTTAAATTATGCTTTTTATTCCTTTCAAAACCTTTTAGTACAATCTGATGTGAGGCACTTTTGCTGTCTGTTCTTACACATGTTCTGTACTGACTAGAAAGGCTATCTGTTGATGGACTTTAAGCAATGACCATGATATTTATAGGCTATACAGAGAAAGACTAAGTCAAGTGGAAGCAAAACTCGAGGAGGTTATTGCAGGAAAAGCGCCTGAATATTTGGAGCCTTTAGCAGCACTACAGGAGAATATGCAAATCCGAACAAAAGTTGCAGGTAAAAATAAGACTTAAGTCTACAAATGTAGGCTTTGTAAGCGGGCTTTAAAAAACATGTTACTTTATGATCTGATGCCAGGTCAAAGTTACTTATTTGTTTTTGGTATAATTCATGGTCTATTTTGCTGCTTTGATATAGAAATTGAAAATCTACGACTACAGACATGCTGGACTGTTATAAGTGCAAACTCCTTACATCTATCAGACTGCTGACACTTCTATGTCCTACGATGGCCTTGAATTTGAGTGTATACTCCAAAAAAGAAGGCTGTTGGCACATATGAGCACACACCCAGTGTGGTAGCTTTAGACGTGAACATTGGGGAAAAATAGAATTCTGTGTAGAGTTTTTCTAAAAGTTGTGCAATGTATTTTTTCCAATTCTGCTCAGATGTGTCAGCTTTACTTTAAATTTTCAATACAAATAACCCTTTAAATTATGTCTTCAGAAACTATACAGGTAGCTTGTTATAACAATGTGTATTTTCCATAGCTTCAATAACTATTGATGAAAACCTGTAAGCTGCATGCTGTTATATGTCAGTTGTTAAGACATAACTGTATAGGTTACTAAAATTAAGAATATCATCCGTTTACAGTATCACTTCTAAGATAACTGCAAGAAATAGTAATTTCTTGAGTTCCACAAAACTAGACATCTTTTTAACATTAATAATCCCTAACAATTCTTGCTTGTATTTTTTTGGGTGGGGGAGGGCAGGACATCTACCATTTTTCTTGTTTTATAAATCTGCATAATGCTCTCACCTTTAACATCCTAAAATATAACTAAAGAGTTGCACTTTCTAACTAGAATCAAATCATAAATGTTACTTTAGAAGCTCATTAATTCTTCATCTGAACAGGTGATTTTGTGATTACAGGTATCTATAGAGAGCTCTGCTTGAAAACTGTGAAGAACCAATATGAGTGTGAGGTGCAGGCTGCATTCCAGCACTGGGAGGTGAGTTACATTTAACTGGTTGCTTTTCATTTATATTCAACATATAACTGCTGAAAATAACTCTTCCTTTCATTACTAGAGTGAGAAGTTGCTCCTGTATGATACGGTACAAAGTGAACTGGAGGAGAGAATCCGACGACTTGAAGAGGACCGACACAGTATTGACATCACATCAGGTTTGTTGGCTTTCAGGTGGGCGTTAGATTGCATTATTTGAAAAAATAGTTTCTCCCAGTGTCCTGGCCAATAATCTCCCAGATAAAATCGGTTAATGCTATCTGTGGGACGTTGCTCTAAGTAACCTGATTGGCATGTTCTCCCACAAAATATACAGTACCTGCACTTTACAGTATATTCTGTGAAGCGCTGTGGGATATCCTCTTGGTATGAAAGGTCCGATAACAAATCCAAGGATTATTATCATTACATTCTGTATTTGATATGATTAAGTAAATACATATTTTGACTTATGCATCTGTATTTTTCAGAGCTATGGAATGATGAATTGCAGTCAAGAAAAAACAAGAGGAAAGATCCATTTAGTCCGGACAAAAAGAAAAAGCCAGTGGTTGTGTCTGATATCCTTTTTGTTTCTAGATCATCAATATCACAATGAACTAAGCAGTAAATGGATGAAGAAAGATATACTTTCTCAATTACTCAAGAAATTGATGATTTTGTAGATGGTCCTGTTGAAATTGGTGCATGTCATTGAGAATTTACATGATTTGCCATTGAACACACTACATTCTAAATTAGTGTGTTCTATTTTGAATGTTTTTAAACAAATGCCATTTTATGTGGTATCCTTCAGAAACGAAAAGACAACCCGTTTGTAAGAGATAGGTTGAAGCTTTAGCTTTTAGGGGGAAAAAATGGTTAGAATCTACTGAAAGCTTTGTAATCTTTTTTTTATTGTGAAGACTTCCTTAACAAGCAAACGTCCTTATGTAGTTTACATGTTACAAGACCTCGATATACTTGAAGACTGGACAACAATTAGAAAAGTAAGTTTCTTTAGGTAGTGTCTTAATAAGCATTTTTTTGTAGTAAGAATTAATGTTTACTCATCCTTCACCCTTAGGAAAGATAACCAACCATACCTTAAACAACAGATCTCTTCATTCTAATTCTAGGAGTTGTATTGCAGCTATTGATTGCTGCATGGCTTTCTAAAAGTAGAGGCTGTCGATACTGTAGTATTGTTCATCACAACATATTTCAAAGACAATGTGTTAAGTACATATTTAGAACACTTGTGTGGAGAAATTGAAATAGAATAATAATAATATTTCCATAGGTATGCCATCATAATCTTAGTATCCAAGTTATTTTACTTGGACCATAAAAATACTCATTGAAATTCAATTTTGTCTGGTTGAAAATGTTAATGTGCAATACATTACAAGATAGCTTTGTACTGCAACATCCAAATAACTTCCGCCAAAAGGAAATCTTGGCTCATTGATACTTTTCTAACTGAGGTTACCGCCTTTCATACGTACAATTTTCTATATAATTAGGGGATTTGTGATGACATTCTGGGATACCGTTTATATCCCACCAATATGCTAATCTCACAAAGTTTCTGTTGGAGATAAATTATGATCCATTGTGAGAAAGGTGCATTGTATCTAAAAGCTGTACCCAATAATTAAATTGCTTATTTTTTTAAATTGATGAATTGCACAATCGTAACATCTTGCTGGAGTAGCTGACTTCAGTACAATTGCTGAATTGGCATAACAACTTGATTTGAAACTAGTTTATTTAATTGGATACATGTGTCCCAACATTTATCTGGTGTTCTCACACCCCAGTGTTACTCCAGTTTCTTTTGAAAGAATATACCATTGCATCAGCACAGTTTGTACAGGTTCCTATTTGATGAGCTGCTTTATTTCTACTGATACTTTGCAACATATAAAGGTATTAATATCTTTGTTTCATCAGGCAATGGCTACACTTGGACCACACAGAGTAAAACCAGATGGTAGGTATAAATTTCAAACATTAATGTACATTTGTATATCATTTTGTTATGACCAGCAGATTGTATTTACTGTTTTTGCCTTTAAACGTTAGCATCCACCAAGACAGAAAAACAGCTGCACAGTGCCAGCTCAGAAGATGGAAGATTATTGTATGATGGAGAGTGGTACAGCCGTGGCCAAACTATATGTATTGACAAGAAAGATGAATATCCTATAAGGTAGTTATATCTTTTTCACTTTTCCATATTGAAGTGTTAATATATTGACCGCTTTGTGATTTATAAGAGACACGTGTAGGGAACTTTTCAATTTATTTTAATGTTTGGGTTATCTCGTCCTCCCGAAGTGAAAGGCGCTATATGTAAATATAAAGTTGTTTGTTGGTTAATATCGTGGGACCCAGCAGCATTCAACCTGGAAAAAAATTACAGTAGGGAGACAAAATTCCACAGTGCATACGTAATGTGTGCATTGAATTTATTTTAAACTGAGCATCTTGGTTCAATGTTGGTATTACTTGGTAGCATTTTTATGCTGATCACTTGAAAGATCCAAGAAGAAAAGTTTCTTTTCAGTTTTCTCCCCACCATTCTCCAGGCAATAAGAACAACTGCTTGTATTTATAAAGCTCTCTTCAATTGGGATAGTGTCTCGGAGCACTTAAGAGCAAAACAGGAAATTTAAAGGCTGTTAATGCTACATTCACTGGCTATTTTGCACATTTGGAGCTGTGAAAATAGCTTTTTCTTTCCATTACTATGAAGCATTTAATGCTGTTGTGCCTATTCAAAACAAGCAAAGATTAAATTCAAATTCAGTAACAATATTCACAATAGATATGATTGCAAATACTTAAAGGCATTTCTTGCATGCAAAGGATTTTACAAAGTACCAGGTAAATATCTGTTCTGTGTGCATATTTATAGTTCTTTCTCTGCTGGAACAGTTTTATATTAGCATCCTAGTCTTTGCAATTGGTGCTACTATCTCCAAAGTTCTGTGCAGTCTGGGTAGAAAATCTATATTCTGGGGTTATCAACTGTAAACACATTGTCATTTGGGATTGCATTATACTTGTAAAGANTTTTTTTCCCACAGCTAAGGTTGGTTAACCTGAGATGGATGTCTGTTTACTTTTTAGTGCTGCAATAACAACCATCAACAATGATGAAGTTTGGTTCAAGAGGATGGATGGCAGCAAATCCAAACTTTACATTTCCCAGCTACAGAAAGGAAAATACACCATCAAACATATATAGCTCTCCATGCTACTCACCAGTTCTTTTTCTGTATGAACTTTGTATTGTTTCTGGACAATGCTGAAGATGTCATGGCATCTGAATTCCTATTTAATGAAATGCAATCAATTCCAGACACTGTAATTTAACTGAGTCTTCAGTCTTACCTGGTGAGAACAAAGTGCTTGAAAGTGAAATCTTTTGAAAAATAGAATGTTAAGTTTGTTGCCTTTTAATTTTCCTGTCCATTCCTCGTCTTAATTAGCAAGGATCAAATAATGGATTTAAGGGTAAAAAAGTAATGATTACATAAATTTGAATTTTATTGTTTATTATTGTACAGCTGTCCAAAACATTTTTTTCTCTCTCTGATTACCAACAGTTTTATCTTTGTCCCAATTGATTTAGAATGTCTCAGTATTGTGACCTCTGATTCAAGCTGCCTAATTCAGACATATGAAATGTAGGCTAATGTAGTGCAGGATTATACTGTGAAGCAACCAATGCAGTATTCTGTACCACTCTTACAGTGCGCCCAAGCCACTATCATGTGGGCATCGTCAATGTCCAGTACTGTAAAATCAATTTATTCTCATTCTATGATCTAGCTTGTTGCAGAGGTGGTTAAAATACTGTACCGTGAGAGATGTACTTCAGAAGCATAGACTTAGTGTAGATAGATTCTAATGTCATTTTCTTTCAACTCTGAGCTTCAAATTTTGTAAGTAGAAATAACTGGAAGAAGCTAGAGCATTTCAAGACATTAAGACTTAAGAAAGTTATTTTACCTTTAAATGGACAAATGATTTGCTGCTTGGCTAGTCACATTGTGTTTTAGCAGTTAATGTGATAATGTATGTGGAATAGAGTTGAACAGCCCAAGTAGACTGAATTTGCTGTGCGTATCTGGTTTTTGCTTTATCTAAAAGATGGTGAAATTAAATCTGTGCTTTTAGCTGCAACTTTGTTTTGCCCAAGCTGATAACCAGATGTTTGCCTGGTTAAGTGAAACACCAAGGAAACAAATTTTGTTGATAAAATGGACTAGTCTTGTTCAGATACAGCAAGTGAATTTAGAAAGTAATTAGTGTGAGGCCTTTTTGGTTTTGTGTTTTTCTTTGCGTGTTGTGTATGATCTATTCAAACCTACTACCAAGCCTCGGCTAGACTGTGCCAAAATAGGCCCAAGCACAGTTAATTGATTAATTTTTTATTCATTGCTGAATTTTATATTTTTATAGGGTTCTGTGCGACTAAAACTAGCACATATGTTATCAGCCAAATACTGAGAATCAGTTTAATCATGTGAGCTGCAAATGGTCACTTCCCATTTTTTTTTCAGGTGTGGGTTGTGACTGTGGATAAAGAAGTGTGTTTTGCAATGTAAGAGATTATCTCCTGAAAAGCCATCTTCATTTCAGAAATATGCAGTCTGTTCTTGATTAACTCGCTTGTTTTCCCTCAAATGTACATCATGTGAACAAAAATGGACAATATTTTGCATGAAAATGTTGAACTGGAGACTTTCTGTTTTTGTTACCTGATTATAATCCTGAACAAACATTGTTACATAAATTATGTGGACTGTATATAAAAGCTCTTTTGAAAACATGTGAACCATTATAAAAACATTTTTGAAACCTGTCTTGTTTACTCCTTTTGCAACATCCAAACAGAGACATTAAAATGAGGCTTCCTTTCCAAGATGATAATTATAAATAATGTTATGATGGTTTTCTGTACAGAAGACCTTGTTCTGCTCAACTCAATGAGTGCAATGTATTATACATAACTAACTGCCCCAGTAGCAGCATATTTTTTCTACAACAGTCATGAGTTAGTAATCACAGTCAGTGCCAAACACTATCATATGAAATACTAAGCATCTGAGATTTTGCTGCAGCTCGCGAGTCTGAGTTTTTCTTTCAATCCTTGCCTTTGGCAGCATTTCAGACAGCACTCAGTGCTGAGGACTAGCTTCTCAAAAGCACCTGTGATCAGGTTTTCATCCTAATTATTCACTCCAGTTGTTGACAGCAATCAGTGCTTTAACTTTTTGGCCCTGACAGGACAATTTCCCTCTTGTAATAGGTGATTTGATCGCTGATATAATAATAATGAATGTTCAAGTGTTAGAATAGGGGACAGAGCTGATTAAGCCATGGGGCACAGCCAAGTACTTTAATCTGCTCAAGTCCCCAATTCTAGCATCAAAATGCTAGAACATTCATTATGACTATTAGTAGGTAGATGAAATTAAATTGCTATGAAACTATTGTACTCCAGCAGTTGAGCCTATTCTCAGAATGCAGGCATTTTACCATGTATTTATGTCTGCTCTCTTTTTTTGATCACCGCCTTTGCAGTAATGTTATCAGCTTGGATCAGTTGATACAGTAGTACTCTTGCCCCTGGGTTCAAACTCCAAATTGGGACTTCAACTCATCATCTAGGCTGACACTCCAGTGGATGGAGTACCAGGGAGTGCTGTTTTGTCAGCAGTGTTGACCTTCAGGTGAAAAGTTAAATACAAGCCCTGGCTACTGCTTCAGGTGGATGATAAAGTTTCCCTGACATTTAGAAAAGAAAAGGGAATTGTCTAGTTCTGTCCATCAATCCTCCCAATTGGTCACTGACCTCATGTGTGAGACTTACTGACATTAATTGATATAGCATCTATAACAGCAAGATGTCTTGAATGCTTCACAGGTATTTTCTGTCAACTGTAATGATCATGTATTTGCTGTTGGATCAGAAAGGTACTACAAATAGTTGTGAGGTGAACAACCAATTTATAATAATATTCCTTGCGTTTGATATAGTGCTTTTCACGTCTTCTAGACGTCTCCGAGCGCTTCACAGAATAAACTGTAAAGTGAATTGACTATATTTGTGGGCAAAACGTGGCAGCCAATTGCACACAGAAGTGTTCCACAAACAGTGGTGGATTGAGTGACCAAATAATTTTTTTTTAGCGATTATTATCCCTGAAAAAGTGATCTGCCAATCGACCAACAACTGGGTTCCTACTTTCTGCTAGGTATCAGGCGTGTGGAGTAAGGAAACTTGCCCAACATTTCGCCCTGCTGGGAATTTAACCCAGGTCTCGCTTGCAAGTAGTGTTTTTTAACTACTGAGCTACAGGACTCTACATTTATCTGGAGGATTGTTAGCCAAGACATGGAGAAATCTACTTCTTTAGAACAATGTCATAGGATCTACTGTGACTACACTGGACAGTAATTAACAGTGAAGCACTTTGAGACTTTGACATAACATGCAATTAAAGAGCAAGTTCTATTAAACACAATACCGACAATGTGATCTCAGGATTTTGGATACAACATGAATCCATATACACTAGTATTCTTAATTTGCATGAATCCGTTTATATAATATTGGACTTTATTTTTTGGGTAAAAATGGTGCAGGCTGTTGGTGTGGGATTACCAATAAGTGTGATACTACACACTTCAGAAGTAATTGCCACTGGAGGACTATACTCATTCACTTTAAACTACCCACATTGGGATGTGAGAAGCATTTTACGAGGCTGCTTCACAAATCACAGATAGATAACTGATCTGCTGTTCATAAGTAAGAATTAACCAATGATTTTTTAGAGAGAAATCAGATTTAAGTGGTTCAACATGAAACATTTTGCAAAACACCTGTGGAACATTTTAATGATCGTGTGCAATACAAATCTTGGTTTATTTTCAGAATTTTCCCTCTAGCTCATCACAACTCAGTCCTATAATAATAATAATTCTTCAATTTGATATAGCACCTTATCACGTTTTAGAGACATCTCAAAACGCTTCACAGAATATACTGTAAAGTGAATTGACTGTATATTTTATGGATGAAATGCAGCTCTCAATTGTACATAACAGTGACCCACAAACAGTTGTGGATCGGCTATGAAAATTTCACCATTGAAAACCCATCAGATTTCAGCCTCAAATCAAAACATCAAATGGTCCATGAAATTCATAGTTCCTATTCTGAAAGCAGTTACTTTTCTAGCAGCGACTTTACAAGATTTTTTTTCATTCGCAAACCTTTGTGTTAACAGAAGCAGACAACCTTATTAAACTGTCAGTCTCAATTTGTCATTCACCCAAACCAAGTGTGGCATATTGTAGGAACTGAGGTAATTTCACTTGGGAGACACAATGATAGCAACTTTAAACATGACAGCTGACTGATAATATATAGATTCTGTGCATAGGCTCTGGCAATGGTCAAGTGGATAATGCACCTGTTGAAACAACAAGCCACATAGTCCAGAAGACTTGATTGCTGGTCTGTGCTGAGTTAGTTAATCACAGCTGGAACAGCAGTTAGGTCACTGACATGGGTTATCATGTTACTCAGCTATTAAGGACGAGGAGGGCGAAACCTATTAGGGTCCTAATCTCTATACAATGATATTTTATTTTTATTATGAACAATAATGGAGACCCTTGACTGTACAGTGCATTATAACCTCCTCCAGACACGAAAGGCCTATATAAACGCAATTTGTTGTTTATTGTTGTAATAATAATACAATACCCCAAATAAAATTGGTCAATTGTTTCATGCCTATTTGTGGGACACTGCTGCTCACAAGTGTGCTGCCACATTTGGTGATATATACACAGTCACTTAATTTCACACTAGTTTCTGTGAAGTGCTTGGAGACATCCTTCTGACGTGGTAAGGCTCTATACTAAATGCAAAGATTGTTATCAATACTGTTATAATCCTAGCATTTGTGCCATAAAGTGCACGTGTCAATGTTAGGATTGGGTGAGGACAAATTCAAGTTTGGCTTTACCTGGCTGAGGGATTGGACCGCAGCTAACCTGAGCCCCGGCGAAGGTCAGCACCTTCAGCAAAGGAGGACAAAAGAACTTACAACTCAGAGAGAAAAACGGTATAATTTTAAGAGGACGTAATACCCCAGTAAACCATTTGGTGGCAGTAAACTCTGAAAGAAAATAATTATCTGCAGCAGTGATTTTTAAACTGCTTTCTTATCCGCAAAGAATGGAATGAAGATAGAATTGACTTTCATAACGCAATCTTTCTCTGTAACTCGTGAATATTGAGTTTTTTCAGACTCATGAAACAAGTGCTACTGATGTATCACTGATGAGATACTGTGATAAGTTGTCTCTTGGAGAATGGAATGTGGTGACTGGAATCAGCTCTTAATTTAATGTTCTATTCAGCTGATAATAAATCAATCCTTGCATTTGATGCCCAAGATGACTAACCTTATTCACGAGAAATAAGCTTATTCAAGAGGTAGTTTAATGCATACATGAGAAAGAAGGGAATATAGGGGTAAAAAGTGAGGGGAATAGGAGGGAAGAGAATTTGTGTGGAGTGTAAACACTCACAGAGACTAGTTGGGCTGAAAGGCCTGTTTCCGTTCAGTTTCACTCTGATATAATTATCAAACTGAGAATTTTCTTTTTAAAAGTGGATACAATGATTTTGTAATGTTTATTCTTTTTTGTTGCTTGACTGGAAACTTTTTTTAAAATTTTTTGGAATTTTGTTTATCCTTTGGAACCACTTTGAATTGCTCTTTGCTACTCAGAGGCAAACCAATTCAATTCATTTTGAAACATTAATGCATAGAATCGAAAAAGAACATCAAAAGCAATCCGTAAATATAATTTATGTTATCAAAAAGAATTTTAAACGAAACATAGAAACATTAACATAATCTAATTTTATTCATTTCTGCGACAAATTTTCCTTCCAAAAGCATAACAAAATTGGACAGTTCTCTCAGCCCACACACAAGATCATTAATTGTCAAAATAGTGCTGGATAATGCAGTTAGTTGTCCCCTCTGCGTGTAATGGAGATGGAAAAAAAATCACTTTAGATAGCATTTCATGTTTAAATATTTTAAGCGAGGTTCTCTATTCAATTCTGCTGCCCTTCCAAAGCAAAGGTTGCTATGGGAAAAGCTAGTTGCTATATTCTGCGTATCAATTAACATATTTGAATGCAGTAATAAGTGTGCTCTGTTTTCAATGCTCTCTCACCATCTCTCGATGGGACTCTTTGTTCTCCTCTGAATATGGAGATATTAATAACGTCTAACCCTCTGCACAAAGGTATCACACAATATTCAGCCTCAGCTAGTTCAAGCACATACACTTCTTTACATATTAAAATATCCTTTATAAGTTACATCAAAATGAAGGACAAACAAAACCTAATATTTTTAATATTACAAATTTAAAATAACACATTAGGAACGTTTTATATCTAAATTTGTCAGAGTTAAATATGTGTACAATATTTCATCAGTGATATATCAGCAACACTTGTTTCATGAGTCTGAAAGACTCAGTATTCGCGAGTTACACAGAAAGATTGCGTTATGAAAGCCTTTCTTACCGCAAAGAATGGAATGAAGATAGAATTGGCCTGTCTATTGCACATATGACAGATGCTCACACCCACAAGCAGCGAGACGAGTTGTTTTTCAATGTCTGCGGTATAACTCAGGCTCACACATTTTCCTATTATGTTTAATTATAATAAACCAGGTTAAGTTATCAATGTATACATTCAAAAGATTATTTGATCCATTTTAAAAATTGAATTCCAAAGAGATAATGCAAAAAAT